GGGCAGGGCCAGAGAGGGAGCAATGGCGGTCCTCTCCGCTCGCTCAGTCCACCTCACCACTCACCCCTGCCTGCTTATCCGAGCGCAAATGTGCGAGTCTGCCGCCCTGGGCCAGTTGCTGGTGCCTGCGAGATCTGTCTCAAGGCTCGCCTCTTCACTGGTTTATCTGCTTGCAAATGCACAACCGACTGCAGACAGCCAGCAATGCCTCTTCCCTGGGTTCTGCCCATAGCTAGCCCGCACCTGGGATCTGCACCCCCGGCTGCCTGTGCACCACCTGGATCTTTTTTGCCCCACTGGCTCCGCTGCTGGTTTCCCCCCTCTCACCAGTTTAGCTGAATGGTGCGTTGTTTCCAGACTCCCTATGGTTTGGTTGTGTTTATTGTTGTCAAAACTTTGTTGTTTTTAGATTTGGTGTGGGAGGACGAAAAGTATTCCCACCTATGCCTCCATCTTGGCGGAAGTCAGATAGATTGTTTACTTAAGAAAAAAATTGTAAATGTCTAAGAACTAAAACAAAATTCCAAATGCATAATTGAGGTAGAAAAAATAGTTGTTTTTACCACCTTAAATGAGAACTCAATGTACTGAAACAAGATGTATAAAATAAATTGGAAATAATGATTTACATTAAAAATTTCTCCAATCTATAAAATTGTTAGTGAGCTCTCATTCTGCATTTGTATTTGATTTGCTTTCTTTTCCTGTTTGCATTGTTATATCCCTTCTTTTACAGCTTGGTTCGGTGTCTTGTTTGATTTTTCTGGTGATTTTCTATGAAGAGTTCAGTATAATGGACAACCAGGTTAGGAGCTGGCTCTGTCAAACACCCTGGACCTTCTCTGGACTTTGGCTTTTTCTTGAAATGAGTATGGAATACCATGTGTGGTAGACAGAATTCCAAACTGTCCCCCAAGGTGTCTCCCTGAATGTTCACCCCGTTGAATCCTCCCCTTGAGTGAAGGTGGCACCTGAGTTCCACGGAGTATGGCAAAAGTAAAGGAATATTATAAAGGTAATTAAGGACTCTAATGACATAAAATTAATCAAATGAGAGATTATTTTAGGTGGGCCAACTTATCACATGAATTTTTAAAAGGGTCTTGAGAAGAAACAGAAGTCTGAGAGGTTTGAAGCAGCAGCAGAAGATGCTCTCCTACTGGCCTTGCAGAAGCAACTGCCATTTGTGGTAAGGGCCAAGTGGCAGGGCACGGTAGGAGGCCCCTGGGACCTGAGGCCTTCAGTCCTCCAACCACAAGAACTGAATTCTGCCATCAGCCAGTGAGCTAGAAGAGGACTTAGATCCTCCAGGTAAGAACTTATCCTGGCTACCACCAAATGGATTGTAGCCTGAAACCCTGAGCAGAGGGAATGGCTTAGCCTGACTCCTGAGCCATGCGAGCTGTGAGATATTAAATGCAGGTTTGTTGTGAAGTTGCTAAATTTGTGGTACTGTTACACAGCAATAGAAAGCTAACATAACAAATCTTCAAAAAAGCCCTTCTTGTGAATTCCTGGGTTCCTACTCTCCCTTTCCTCACCTTCATCTCCGCCTCACAGCCCAGTCCCTGGGATGACCTTGGAAAACACCAAGTAGATAAGGTCACTTAGTAGCTAGGACACAAAAAGCCTCAATGCCTGCCTCTTACATGAGTGAATGAAGTCAAGAAAGCAAATAGCTGGATACTTCAGAAGCTCTCTGCTGCCTCACTTTCAGTTTTCTCCAGTGTGCACATCAACAGAATGCAGGTAAATATTTTTCTATTTTCTATTGGGTAAATATGGTTAAAATGTAAGACCCTCACCTTTGTCTCTGAGGCTCTCACACACTAGTTTATATAGAAAAGGAGGAAGTTTCAAGCCTTCCTTAGTGGAAGCTGGCATTTGTTATATGAGACAACAGGGAGATTTAAACTATGACAATAATATTATACCGTGTAGCTGCTCCTACAGAAAAAGACTGTGTAAGACAGTGAATTAAAATATGAAACTTAAGGTGTTATGGAAGAAACCCATGACTTAAAAAAGTTCTACAGAATTAAAACTAGCTTTCAGCATTAAAAATCAACTAATAAAATTAGTTCAGAATATGGACTTTCTTGAACAGATCTTGTTTCAGCAAATTTGACAAAATGTGGGTAACATTACTATCATAGACAATGCTAACATTTTTTTGCAATTTAAAATTAAAGTAGAATATTGAGTACTATTTTAATCAATACTACACGTACATATTTTGGGAGATTTTTGTATTCTTAAAAAATCTGTTTTATACATTTTGCTTACTCATTGTTTTATTTATTTTTTAAATTAATATGTGAGTAGGAAAATAACTTTAATAAATGTTTCATTTTTGAAGGTATCTCAGTATAAAGATTTTGATACAGATTAGCCTAGATAAGCCAATTCTAGAGTTAAAAATAGGTTACATCATACTGTTGTATCTGTGGTTCTGAAAATACTGTAAATACTATTTTATTAATTATACTCTTAATAAGTTTTTAAAAAATCATATATAATTCTTTTTCAAATGAAAATACTTCAGGTATGCATGAAGTACTTTAAAAATGTGTTTCTTAGGTGGGTCTGTTTTATGGACTTAAACATTACAAAAAATTTTAACCATACACAAAGTAGAGGGAAATGTAATGGATGCTTCTATTGGTTTCTTATTGCTGCTGTAACAGTTTACCACCAATTCAGTGACTTAAAACAATACAAATGTATCTTAATATTCTGTAGGTCAATAGTCAGATTTGGGTCTCACTGAGCTAAAATCCAGGTGGTTCTATAAGAGAATCTATTTCCTTGCCTTCTATGGGCCACCTGCCCACGCTGCTTAGCTTGTGACCTCTTTCTGCATCTTCAAAGTAAGTAACATGATGGGAGTCCTGTGAGACGTATCTCTTTGTGGGCTGAATGTTTCTGTCCCCCCAAAATTCATGTTAAAATCCTAATGCTGGTAGTTATGTTATTTGGAGGTGGGACCTTTGGGAAGTGCTTGAGTTGTTAAGGGTGCATTAGTTCCACCCTTATGAAATTACTAGTTCTCAAATGAAATTAGTTCTCTTATAAAAGAGATCCCACAGTGGTCCCTCTCCCTTCTACCACAGTGAGACAGTAAGGACACAATGAGAAGATCCAAGCTATGCAATAGGAAGAGGTCTCTCCCCAGAATGTAGCCCTGATCTTGGACTTCCAGCCTCCACAACTTCATGAAAGTTCTATGGTTTATAAGCCACCCAGTCTACAGTGTTTTGTTATAGAGACTGAATAAAGTAAGACAGCCTCCTTCTGTTGTTAGATCTTCCTCTGACTCCGATACATCTGGGCGTTTCTCAACTGGTAAGAACCCAAGTGATTAAATTGGATCCATGGGATAATCCAGAATAATCTCTTCATCTGAAAACCCTAAACCTTAATCACATCTGTGAAGTCCCTTTTTCCACTTAAGGTAACATAGTCACTGGTCCAGAGATTAGGACGTGGACATATTTGGGGACTCATTATTCTGCCAACCACCATGCCATGCATCCAACTTTTTGCTTCATCATTGTCAACATTTTGTCAGTATTGTTTCTTCTCTCACTTTCTTTTTTCTGGAGTAAGAAAGCTAATTCCAGAAATCATATAATTTGCCTGTAAATACTTTTAGTATATTTTTCTAATCTTAAAAAAAACACCTATGACCAAAATATCATTTTTTACAGCAAAATTACCAATCATTCTTTAGTATATAGTATCTACTCCACGTCCAAGTTACCCAATCCTTTTAAAAATGGGTTTAAAAAAAAAAACTAGTTTAATTATGACCCAATCAAGGCCCACAAACTGCATTTGGTTAATATGTCTCTCCAGCCTGCATTAGAGCAGATTTCCCTCCTTATCCTCCTCCTTTTGTTTCTGATGCTATTTGTTGAAAAAAGAAATTGGGTCATTCGATCTGTAGAATTCCCCACACTCTGGAGATGGCTCATTGCTTCCTGGTGGTGTAATAGAAGGTGTTCATTTGGTTCCTACATTTCCTCAAGCTTGTAGTTAATTAATTATAGGCTTAAATAGATTTACATTTCTTTTTTTTTAATTCGTGAGAATACTTTAAAAGTGATGCTGCATATACTTCCTATTGTATGTCAGTGTGCACACAGATTCTGGTTCTCCCAGTGTTGGTGATGTTAAAATTGTTCACCAGGACATATTTTAAAATATTACAATATTCCCACTTATTAATAATAATAATAATAATAATAAATAACACTTACTGCTTACTTACCATATACCAGGCGTTTCACTGGTTGCTTTCTATATGGTTCTTATATTACATTAACTATATTCATAGATTGCGAAAACTACGAGAATTGGTTGGTTGGAACTCTGTGATTATTGCTCTGATCTTCATTATATTTCTTGCAACACGGGATAATGATTCCTGGTGATTTATAGGCTTATTTTGAGGATTAAAACAAAGGAAAAAACTCTGAAAAGTCAGTCACGCTATGCTACACTGTTGTAACAGTAAAGTAAGTTAAAAGAAAAAGGAAAGAAAACCCTTAATAGTCACTCTGACCGCCACCTCCTTTATTCATCACACTTTTCTTGAGGGCACTTCATATGGCAGTCCTCCAGGTGCACGATCTGATGGGCGGAAGGGAAAGGGAGCAACCCCTGGACTGCATGGACAACACGTTGTCCTAAGGTCAGAGCAGCTGGCTTTCCAGAGCCGCCTGCTACCCCCGAACCGCTCCAGGGTTTCCTTAGGCCCCCCACCTGAGCTTCCGGGGAAAGGCGAGCACCGCCGCGGAGCTCACACGGAATGCTGGGAGCGCGGCTCCGCTGCGTGGTGGGCGGGGCGCACAGCGGAAGCCCGCCTCCCACGCCTGGGCGGAAGTTTGCTTGAAGAAGGGGTTACTAGTGGGCTGGAGAGGTTAAATTGTGGAGGTATTAAACAAAAAGGAGAAAGGGCTCATGGATGTGGCCTACAGAGTGGTGCTTGGTGGGGGAGGGGATATAAGAGGAATAAATGATAATGGAAGAAATACAAATAAAATTTTTTACAAAGCGAGTACTCGGGCCACGCTCCTTGCAAGGAGGCCGGGGAACAGAGCCCGTGATAGTCCTGAGCCCGCCTCCCCTGGCCTGGACGAAGGCGATCTTTTCGTCCAAAAGGCTTTTGCGTGCCCAACTGACTTTTCTCCCAGATGCTCCACTCGCCTTTCTCACGGACTCCGGGATTTTCTGCCAGGCTTGAGGTCTCAGGGCGGGGTTTCAGCGTGACCAAACCACGCCAGTCAATGCGGAAACAGGAAGCCAAGGAGCTGCTAGGCGGTTTTCGGAGGACGTGTGACAAGTTGGGGCCCTTGCAGGGGGTGCTGTGCAGGGGTTTTCCGATCTGGTCTGTGTCGTGCTGAGAGCCCAGTGCAAGTAGGATTTTACATGTGTCATTGTAACTATGCCATAATAAGTTGTGCTTCTAGGTTAATTACTATTTCTTGTCACGGAAAACTGGTAACTCCTTGCCCTTTTAAGATCGCGTTAATCTATTAAAAGACAGTATTTTGGAGGTTAGTTATTTGCTAGAAAATCACTATTAAGTGAGACCCATGTTCTTAATCGTAGGGGTTTCTCACTTCCTAGTTTACTGATGTAGACTGAAAAACATCTGTTTTAAAATACCACTTGAGATGAAAATTTTAACCACAGATAGCCATTGACATTTTGGTAATATATTTAAGATAACGAGCAAGAGAAAAAAATTACAGGTCAGTGCATAGTAAACCTTTTTAATGCTTTTTTGGGGGGGGGATTTAGATGTTAAAAAATTTTAAGATAAAAATTAGTCAATGGATAAATTATTTCGCTCCCTATTATAGATTGCAGCTACCATTCTTATGTGTTGGCAAAATAGAACAATGATGTATATGTGCCTTGTATATATATTTTTATACTATAATTTAAAAGACCCATTCTTGAGCAACAGTATAATGCCATTTTTTTTTAGCCCTGTGGTTCTCAGCTGCTGCCGCTGCCGCTTTATTTTTATTATTGGTGAGGTTCCTTATCCATGTGCCACAGAGCAACAGCCATGTGCCTTTTAAGAAGTGATGTATTTTCCACTTTAATAACAGCTGACGAGTGAAAGATTATTTAGCAACAAAACTCACATTTTCTGTTTTATTTCAGGTAAAGGTGCTCTGATTTGGGGGAGCACAAGCCAACTTACATCTTTCACACTTAACACAGTCTCATCTACTAGTTCTGTTCTTTAAAAGGGGAGAAGGTGCCTCAGTGATACACCTCTAAGGCTCCTAAGACTTTTTAAAACAAAATTTAAGAGTGATGGATTTAGCTCTGAAAGAAAGCCCTTATTACAGGATATTGTTAACTTGTGTGGTTCTCTGCGTATGTTTATTTTCTTTTAAGAAATTGTGGCAAAACTTACATAACATAAAATTTACCATTTTAACCACATTAAGTGTACAGTTCAGTGGCATTAAGTACATCCACATTATTCTACAACTGTCACCAATATCCATTTCCAGAACTTTTTCATCTTCCCAAACTGAAACTACATGTCCATGAAATAATAACTCCCCATCCCACCAGCCACTGATACCCACTGTTTTACTTTTATCTCTAGGATTTTGACTAGTCTAGTTTCCTTAGTAAGTGGAGTCATCATAGTATTTGTCATCCTGTGACTGGCTATTTCAATTAGAATAATGTCCCCAAGATTCATCCATTCTCTAACATGTATTAGAATTTCATTACTTTAAATTTTAAAAAAATTTTGGTAAATACACATAAAACTTTCCATCTTGCCAATTTTTAATGACACTTTTAGAGCAATTTTTTTTTTATTGAGGCTTAAGATTTCTTTGTATATGTTGGATAACAGTCTTTTATTAGATGTGTCTTTTGTAAATATTTTCTCCCAGTCTGGGGTTAGTCCTCTTGTTCTCTTGAACCATATTATTCACTTTTAAGTGTTTAGTATAGAGTTGAGTATAGTCACATTTCCAAGTAAGCTGTAGAGCTTTTCTGTCTTGCAAAACACTCTATGCACATGAAACTACAATCCCCTATTTTCCCTTTCCCAACCCCTGACAACCATCATTCCATTCTCTGTTTCTATGAATTTGACTACACTAGGGACACCTACAGTAGGGAATTTGATTCCAACTCATAAATGGAATCATACAGTATTTGTCTTTTTGTGACTGGCTTATTTCACTAAGCATATGTCCTCAAGGTTCATCCATGCTGTAGCATGTGTCAATTTTTTTCCTTTCTAAAGGGCTGAAAAATATTCTATCATGTATAAATGTATATATATTACATTTTATTTTTCCATTCATCCATTAGCAGACATTTGCTTTTTTCGCACCTTTTAGCTATTGTGAATAATGCTGCTATGGACATGGGTGTACAAATATCTGTGTGAGTCCCTGACTTCAATTGAGTAGATATCTAGAAGTGAAATTGCATGATCATATGGTAATTCTGTTTTTAATTTTTGGAGGAACCACCATACTGTTTTTCCCACCAGCAATGCACAAGAGCTCCAGTTTCTTCATGTCTTTGTTATTTTCTGTTTTTTTTCTTTTCCTTTTTTTGTTGTTAATAATCATCCTGTCCTGTCACAAACTGGGAAATAACATAGCTAGGACAGAGATGTCTCCAGCTGCCTGGATTACATAGCTGGGGTCTGGGGTAGGATTCAGAAGCTACCAAGTATTTCTGTGTACTTCCCTTTTAGAAGAAAGCTGTTTTCTCAAAGAGGTTCAGGGAAGATTGTCACTACTTCCCTATTCACTAGAGAGCTACTGTAGTGTTTCTTTTTTGAGTCCAATACAGGGCTGGTGAGAAATGTGTTCTGTGTATCTGTTTGCCAGTCTTTAAATTTCTGCCCGGCCCTTTGATCAAAGGAAACAGGAACAACTTCTATATTTTCTTCTCATTCCTGTGATGTATGTAGACTGTTAAGCATTTAAAAGCAGATGATGGACCAAAAGAGCAGTAATATGTATAGTTCTAAAGTGTTTGGGGAAGTAAGACTAAATATAAGCTGTTATTGCCACAAACATTTATTGAGCACCTATTGTTTGTAGGTACAAGAGAGTAGGGGGGATATGGAGGTAAGCAAGGCAAAGTCCCTGTATGCTGGAGCTTAGAGCCTAGTGCAATGAGAAATACATTGTATATCATGACCAGTACACACAGACACATGTACATAAATAAAAATGGAGAAAAAAGTTTTGTGAAATAAACTTTGCTATGCCTTGCCTTTACTATATGTAGTATAGGTTAGTATTTTCTGTTCTGTTTTATTTTTTAAAATTCTGGTCACAAACCACCAAGCTAATTTTATAAACCAGTGATGGGTCAATTTTACGTTCTGGAAAAATTGCAGGATAGTAGGTATTACTAAGTTTTTTTAAAAAAAGATTTTATTTACTTATTTTTAGAGAGAGGGGAAGGGAGGGAAAAAGAGGGAGAGAAACATTAACGTGTGGTTGCCTCTTGCACGGCCCCAACCAGGGGCCTGGCCCACAGCCCAGGCATGTGCCCTGACCAGGAATTAAACTGGAGACCTTTTGGTTTGCTGGAAGATGCCCAGTCCTATGAGCCACACCAGCCAGGGCCTAAGCTGTTTTCTTAGAGTCATTACCTATGATGTTAGGAATAAGAAGTATGAATGTTATGAATATGTACCACAGATTCAGCACTTTAATTTCTTACCAGGGTCTTTCAGGACCTTTCATATAGAATCTAGTTTCCTTACTGACAAGTCCGGAGGGGTGGTGAGAAGCATGTGTCTGCCTTTTGATTCTAGGCCAAAACTGTAGTTGGAAGGCCTGTATAGTTTTCCTGCTGAGTTATCATTTGATGAGTTTACTAATAGTGGCAAATTGAACTCAGGGAGTGGAAACAATAGCATTTTAGTAATTTTGCTTTAAAATTTTTTTTTGTTATTACCACTTAGTTCGTGTACATTGGTTATATATATGTGTGTTTTTGGCTTCTCCATTTTTTATACTATTCTTAATTTCCCCCTGTCTATTTTGTGCCTACCTATTATGCTTCTTATTCCCTATACCTCCCCGCCATTCTCCCCCTCCCCACTGATAATCTTCCATGTGATCTCCATTTCTGTGATTCTGTTCCTGTTCTAGTTGTTTGCTTAGCTTTTGTTTTGTGTTTCAGTTGTTGATAGTTATGAGTTTGTTGTCATTTTACTGTTCATAATTTTGATCATCTTCTATTTCTTAGATAAGTCCCTTTCACATTTCATATAATAAGGGCTTGGTGATGATAAACTCCTTGAACTTAACCTTATCTGGGAAGCACTTTATCTGCCCTTCCCCATTCCAAATGATAGCTTTGCTGGAAGAGTAGTCTTGAATATAGGTTCTTGCCTTTCATGACTTTGAAGAAGTCCCTTCTTGCCTGTAAGATTTCTTTTGAGAAAGCTGATAGTCTTTTGGGAACTCCTTTGTAGGTAGCTGTCTACTTTTCCCTGGCTGCTTCTAAGATTTTTCTCCTTATCTTTAAATCTGGGTAATTTAATTATGATGTGTCTCGGTGTGTTCCTGCTTGGGTCCAATTTCTAAGGGACTCTCTGAGCTTCCTGGACTTTCTGGAAGTGTATTTCCTTTATCAGATTGGGGAAGTTTTCCTTCATTATTTGTTCAAATAAGTTTTCAATTTCTTGCTTTTCCTCTTCTCCTTCTGGCGCCTCTATCATTCAGATGTTGGAGTATTTAAAGTTGTTCTAGAGCTTTCTCAGCCTTTCCTCATTTGTTTTTTGAATTCTTGTTTCTTTATTCTGTTCTGGTTGGATGTTTATTTCTTCATTTTGTTCCAAATTGTTGATTTGAGCCCCAGTTTCCTTACCTTCACTATTGGTTCCCTCTATATTTTCCTTTACTTCACTTTTTAAAAAATTTATTTTTAGAGAGAGGGGAAGAGAGGGAGAAAGAGAGGGAGAGAAACATCAGTGTGTGGTTGCCTCTCAAGTGCCCCTACTGGGGACCTGGCCCGCAACCCAGGCATGTGCCCTGACTGGGAATTGAACCAGGATTGTTTGGTTCACAGCCCATGCTCAATCAACTGAGCTACATTAGCCAGGGCCCCTTTACTTCACTTTGTATAGCCTTCATTTCTTCCTTCATTTTGTGACCATACTCAATCATTTCTGTGAGCAGCCTGATTACCATTGTTTTGAACTCTGCATCAGATAGGTTGTCCATCTCCTCCTTGCTTAGCTCTTTCTCTGGAATTTTGATCTATTCTTTCATTTGGGCCATATTTCTTTGTCTTGGCACACCTGCTGTGTTGTAAGGAGAGGAGCCTTAGGTATTCACCAGGGCAGGGCAACATTCTTTGCTGTGTTGTGGTGCTGTCTGTGGAGGAGGGGACAGAGAGGAAACAATGCCACTTGCTGCCTCTACTCTAGCCATAATTTCCATCACTTCCCTCGCTCCCCACAAGCAGATTGTGGCCTCTCAGATGCTGATTTGCAGATGGGTGGGTTCGTGTGTGTTCTAGGACCCTATGGGCCTCTCCCATGGACTCTCCCATGACTGTGAGAGTTTCTCCCACTGCCACAACTCCTGCAGATTTTTACATCCAGAGGTTTTGAGTTTTTAGTTTCCCACGCTGAAACCCTGGGTTCTGCGGTCTGTCTTGCTTCCCAGTGGTTCTTCCCAGCTTATTGGCCCAAGAATGTGGGACCAACTGGTCCACTAGTCACCTCCTTGGCAGTGGGTCCTCTCCGCCTCAACTGCTGGTTTCTGCCCCTCCTTCCAGTCTGGATGAATGTGTCTTTAACTCCTTGGTTGTCAGACTTTCATGAAGTTTGAATATCTGGCGTCCTAATTGTTTTTTTGTTTTTAAATTTGTTGTCCTTCTTTTGGTTGTGTGAAGAAATGAAGCATTTCTACCTATGTCTCCATTGTGGCCGGACCTCCTGGGATGCTTTCTCCAAATCCTTAGTGTATCCGTACATGAGCAGATCCACCTAATTTTGCTTTTTAAACTCAAACCAGTTTGTGCAAAGGAAAACTTCTAATATGGACAGAATTATTCGTTACTTACAAGAAAGCAACATACAGAATATAGTTTTTATTCAAACCTCCCATGTCCTGGTTTTACAGTCTAGTGATACAAGATGGATAATATTTATTAATAAGGCAGGGAGAGGTGGTTGCATTGGGCCTGGGTGTAGTAGTCATACTGTTCTGATGAAGGAGCAGACCCTCCTTTCATTTAGTTTAGGACAATACATTTTCTCTGCATTAGCTTGTAAAAAAGCCTGGGCAAAAGATAATAGTAGCATATAGTTATTTAGGCTGTGTGGCAGTGGTGATTTTAAGTCATTGGCCTCTTTATTATGATTGAGATAAAATTTAAGGTTTACTTTTAGTGAGGAAAGTATATGGGGACTTTAGATGTGAAGCATTAGAAAGTGCATGGCAGTAAATGAGTGGAGAAAATCAGGTTCAGCCCAAGATGGTCACGGCTTATAGATTTCTTCCAATTATTGGCCTTTGTTCTCTGCTGGTCTTCATTCCCCCTATCCTGATTATGGCTGTTTAAATTATTGCAGTGAGTCTGCTGGAATTCTTCAGATTATAAATTTTATTCTATAATCTAATCCTGACATAACCGAATAGTAATTTCTTCATTCCCCCATCCTGACAAAACTGAGTTTTGGATAGAGCAAGAAAAGTAGTTTTCCAAGATTTGAACAAATGGAATTCTGTTTAAGGATTTGGTGCCAGAAGTTATCAAATATGGTTTTCATTCTGAGTTCCATTTTTTTAAAAAGATAATCACATTATAACAGAGAGCTGATTCACATGGTATTAGGGTTTACTCAAGAAAATAAGTAATAGCACCAAGTAGCTTGCTTGCTCTCCCTCTTTCTCTTTCCTTTTCCCTCGGATAATTTTTATTTCTCTGTGGAAAGAAAAAGTAGGGGTTTGAGAGAAGGGCCGGGGCTCTCCTAACTTTTGGCCCACGCCCTTCTTATCTAAGCTGACAAATTAGTCATCCTGGCAGCAGTAGCCTGTAGGGACTGGGTGCAGCTGAGAGGGCTCTGTAGGATAAAACATGCATGGGAATCAGGTCAAAGGGAGCTGTGTGGCCTGAGAATGCACACCCATGGATCGCCTCTTTGTGTCATCTGTCCTGCACTTTTTGGTCCAGGGAAGCTGGAGGACTGCAGTCTTGTATTCTCTCTGGTCCCTGAATCCCACTATGTGGGCCGTACTTGTGAGGCAGCATCGCCTTCCTGGCTTTCAGACCAGTCATCTCTCCTTCCTGATCTTAGTCATCACTCGCGAAACACATTGCTCTCTGATTGAAGACATGGGTATAGAAGAGCATTATAAAGCTGTCATTCTGGTATTTATCTTGGGAAACTTACAGCCAAGGTTTGCATACTAGAAGAATTCTACACCCAACCCCAGAAGGTTGGAGTTCCTTCCCCTCAACTCATTCTCTGTGTTCTAAGAAAACGTTAAAGTTTTAGGATGTTTCAACTGCTGTTTTGGCCTCAGCTTTTAGGATTTAGGAGATTTTTAAGCCTTTTGAAAGAAAATTAAATAGTAAGATCAAATGGTTGCTTTTCAGGTATTTTACTGAATCCAAACAAAGGAAATTAAATGATATTAAATAATATATCCATTATTCCTTAGAGTCTCTCTTCTTTTATGAATATTAGCCAAATAGAGAATTTATGCCCTTAGATACACTGGAGAATGTTACTAACATTTTTTCAATCATTCCAAAGTTTGTGCATAGATAAATGACTTTCTTCTCATCTACATCATTAAGTACAAGGCTTATAGGGTAGAATGATCCACAGGATGCCTACACATCCCAAGCTGCCTGGAACAATCCTAATTTATACCGTGGTCCTGTTTTTATTTGCATTAATGCACTTTTTCCAAGGGTGTCCCCAGTCGGAAGATAAAGTATGTGGTGACTCTAGTTATGTGGCACGTGTGGTTCAACCTTAGACAACAGAGGTGGCGAGGTGGTTCTAGGTACAAGGTATGGCATGTGATCACTGATGGGCTGGACCTGGTTGATAAAGACGATGGATTTTCTGACTGGAGTTCCAGTGAGAGCAATGATCCCAGGTTACATTCACAGCTGCTCCTGACCTCTCTGACAGGTCATATTTAACATCTAGCACTTGCGAACAATTCTCTCTTTAATAGACCAGTGCTTATTACATTTAATGCCATTCAAATGCAGATTGAGGAATGATGTAGACTTGAGGCACAAAGCCTTCATTTTACTCCTGTGGTATTTCATCTGTTCTGAAAAGCCACAGATGGGAGTGAGTATGGTATTTCCTAACATAGCAGAACAACTGTCAGTGCTCTATTTGAATAATCCCAAATGATGTCCTCATTTTGTCAGTTTCTGAACATATTTTCAATTCTGGGGTTATGTTTTACATTTTTGGTAATAGCTCAAAATACGTTTGCCCCTATTTATTTTTCTTGGGTAAGTTTTTAAAATTTTCCCAAATGTAGTGCTCAGTTATTCTACAACATCACTGTGAAATAAGCAAAGCACTTTATAGAGGCTGGCGCTTATGTGCAAGTGTAAGCAGTTCAGAAAACTGCATTTTACAGAGATTATTTTAGACGCTACAAAAATGACTGTTCCTGACTCCTTGCTTATCAACCAACCATAGGAAGATTCCTAGATTCATCTTAGAAAATCATTTTTGCAGAATAGGATTTCTTTTATTTGTGGCTCAGTTAGGATCTATGGTTAGACTCTCTTCCAGTGCCCCTGCCCTGCAAGACTTCTGGAGCTGCTTCCACAGCTGAGTGCTCCATAGTCTCCAGGTTACCATTCATTTTAAGATTCTTGTTTTGAGCAATATTAGTTGAGGAACCTTAAATAGAATGTCACCTCTTATATCCTATCTCAGGCCATCATTTTCTTAACCTTTCTGTTCAGGGGTGTCAAAAATAAATGCTTTCAGGCTTGACTTGGGGTGGTGAATACACAATACAGTGTACAGATGATGTGTTTTGAAATCGTGTACGTGAAACCTGTATAATTTTGTTAATTAGTATTACTCCAATAAATTCAATTAAAAGGGAAAAAATAGATGCTTTCTTTATACAGTGCAAAGTTCATCTATGACTCAGATGAATCCATAAATATTGTAAAGATTCCCATAGAGAAGCCACTGTTCATACATGTCTTATTACAGAAAGGCCATCCAGAGTTTTAAGGCCAATAGGCAGGTGAAAAGCTCATATTGTGAAAATTTACATACCATATTTTGCCATGTATAATATGCACTGTTTTGTCAAATTTTTTGAGGAAAAAATAAGGATGCTCATTATACATGATTGTATAATGATTACATACAATGGGTATAATAATCCTATGTATGATGTGCACAAAAATGTGGGTGAACATTTTACATGGTAAAATACCTGAACACTGTTTTTAGAGATGGCTCTGTCAGAGCCTGTCCTCAGCCCAGAGCTGAGAGGCCACAACCCAAATTGGAATGCATTTCTTGGATCTCTGAAGCACACTGTGTGTGAATAGTCACCTCTTTTATGGAAAAAAGAGTAGAAAAGTAATGAGCCTACACCAAAACATTAGAAAGGGTTTATGGCCTATTAATTTTTAAGGCCCTGGAGGTTGTTAGTGAATCCTTTTAAAAGGAGTCAAATTATACTCAAATAATATTTATTGACTTTCCCTATTATATCTACTAAACCATCCATCTGATACATTTTCATTTAATAATTTCCGAAGTGGTGATAAAATTTTATCATTTTAGGGGGTAAGGAATTCTAATAGCATTATTCTGGCATACCCAGTTGTCATGCTTATCAGTTATCATACATACAGTATTATCATTGTAAGAGTAGAGGATAATTTGTTCTCTGCTGTTGGGAATGTAGATAGAATTCCGTACCTCATTAGTTCTTAATCAAAAAGAGCTAGTGGTAATTGTATTATTGAGAAACATAATCCAAACCTTTCACTTTTCTCTGTAGGTACATGGCTAAGACCTGAACACCATCTGCATCTTACCCAGGATTCCACTTTCCTCCTGGTGAATTCTTGATGGATCTGAATCTTGGTTGCTGGCAGCTCCTCTGCAGGAGAAATGGCTACTATCAGATTTGGGTTTGGAAGACTGAATTTTCTTCTGTTAAAGAGGAGGAGTTTCTTGCTGTTGAAACTCATAGCTGTTGTCTTTGCTGTGCTTCTATTTTGTGAATTTTTAATCTATTACTTAGTGATCTTTCAGTGTAATTGGCCTAAGGTAAAAACTTCAGCCTACCACAGTGAACAAGAGACTCATGAAACTGTTCTGAAAGCCATGTTTTTGGCTGATACCCACTTGCTTGGGGAAATAAGAGGCCACTGGCTAGACAAGTTACGAAGGTAGGAGCTAAAATCAGGAATCATTCTGAAATTCTGTAGGCACAAAAGTATAGTCCTCTCCCCATAGGTCAGGCTTAAGGACTTCAGGGTGCTCATTAATTGTTTCCTCTCACAGAAAAACATGGGACATTTGACTTTTTCTTCAACTTACTATTACTGAGCATCTTTTATATATAGGACCCAGAATTTGGAAGGCAGGTCCAGGTTTGAGTCTCATGACTTTGGACAGGTTACTTGGGCCCTGTGAGCCTTTCTCTCCTTCCTTGTTTGTAACTGGGTTAATATGAGTAACTCCTGAAGAAAATGCCCATAGCAATGCCCAGCACATGGCTGTGGTCAGTGAAGATATGTTTCCCATACCCCTGGATAGGGGTGGGCACAGGGTTAGGTTGGTGAACACCTCTTACAGTCACTGGTGTAATTTTGAGCTCACTTGATTTTTTGTCTACTCTGAGCAGGAGGAGCAGAGCAGGTCTGTGGCTTCCCCTGGGGAGAGGATTAGCTCCTGTCTCTCCAACTTAGTTCTGCCCAAATGTAGTCCTTCTGCTTTCCCACTGAAGGCTTTTTAAAACTTTAATTGTGGTGAAACACACATAATATAAAAGTTACCACCTTAAACATTTTTATATAAGTGTAATTGTAATTGTCCTTTTGTGACTGGTTTATTTCACTTAGCATAATGTCTTCAAAGTTCATCTTTTATAGCCTATTCCTGCAAGTAGGAATGTCCTTGGAGTGCTTTGGATATAAATGAACCTTGTGTTGAGTGGCAGGGGGAGATGTGTGATGTCCCCAGGGGTGGATGAGGAAGATTAGATGAAAGAAGGGCAGGTGGAGGGGCTGATACACTATTCTACTCATAGTTTTAAACCAGAATAGGCATGGCATAGAGAAGGCCAGGGTGAGATTGAGCTCCCTTGTCCTCGTTTGTATCTTACAAATTGTGCTTTATTTATGAGCCGTACCCCAAGCAGTCTTCCCTGTCCTGTTGCTCCTGCTGTTCCTACGTGCTTTCTTCCAGGTCAAATAACATTAAGTCAAGAAAACCTGAGAAATGTATTTTGAGAGGTATTTTTAGTGAAGATGTACCAAGCAGCAATTTACATGGGGCCTGAAAAGTCTCCTCTGAGCAAAAATTACTGTCCCCCATTTATATCCCCCAGGACAGAACATTTCTCTTTTGCAGGGGATGGGTGGAAGCAGCCAGGAACATGTCTTAAAAAGGAGGGAGGAACTGAGACTTTTAGGAAAATGACACAGATCAGAGTTGGTTAGGGAGGAGAGGAGGAAGGTTGAGAAAGCATTGACATTTTTGAACACCCAGTGTGTGTCAGCACTTTACAAATGCTATCTCATTTAATCCTGTAACTGTTCTGTGAAAGTAGGTTTTTATTATCTTCATTTACCAATGAAGAAACTAGGAATCAGAGTAGGCAACATTCTCAAAACTTCACAACTGGTTATTGGGTAGAACTGGGATGTTAAGCCATTGCTTGTTAGATTTCCAGATCCCAGGCTCTTTTTATTTGTTTGTCTCATTTAAAGGCTGATTGCTGTATGTCTGAAGTCTACAGGATTTACAGTTTTGATATTGGCTAGTCTGTTTCTCTCATTGTCTCTTCTCAACTCTGAAGGCAAGAAGTTGAGATTCCTTCAGGAAAAAGTGAAAGTTAAGCCAGATGCCTCCGTCTCCTCAGTGTGGTGCAAAATCAGTCTCCATTGGGCAGCTTTGGAAGCTGCATTAAACTCTGACCCCTGGGGCTCTCATGACTGAGTGATGGCTTTGTGGTGCACTGTGGGGCTGGATCTGTGGGTACCATACAGGGAAGTCAGCCTTTGATATTGGGAGGGGCAGCCTGACTCTCCTTTGTACCTTTGCTCCTCATGTTTAATCAGATATGGGTGCTTTGGCCTTTGCAAGGAGTAGATGGGAATGTGAGGGTGGGGCCATGGGAGGAGAATGGTACCATTTAGTTCACCTTTTTAAATGGCCCATAAGACAGATGTAGGCTCCACCCAATAAATAGACTGATACCTTTTTCCTAATGGCATGTAGAGAATGGCAAATGGAGAGAGCCTTCCAGACAGCTCTGTGGTTGTTGCAGCCGGAAGTTGTCTTCATTTTGGGGGACATCTTTGATGAAGGAAAGTGGAGCTCCTCTCAGGTAGGACCCTTTGATCCTGGTACCTTAATCCTGCTTTCATTCAAGGTCCTGTACAGGTAACCCAGAAAATGCGTGAAGCAGTATCAGCTAGGGTTGGAAGTTTTTTGCTTAGTCTCCATATTAAAAATGTATGGCCTGTTTTGAAGATTATTAGAATCTGTGTCTAATGCCATTGTTGAGTTAGGTTGACTAATCTTACATTTGCCTATGTAGGAACTATGTAGTGTAGCCAGACATCACTTTTTTGGAAAGCACATTCCCACGAACCTCTTGAGAAAGGGGAAAACTGCCAAGATGGATGCTATTTCAGTTGTCACCTAAATTACCAAATACACATTGAAATGTAATTTGACTTCACACTCTTATTTAACCCCAAAACTGTAAGAATTGTGCTACATAAATTATTTGCTACTATCTTATTTTCTTTCTTCTCAGGGAAAGGTGCAGAAGGAGCCATTGGTCTTAGATTAAGGTTCCTTTGCCTGGATTGAAATGATGGAAAGAGAGGCTGTTCCCACCTTAGTGGTCGATGCTTTGCTTATTACATTTCTGGAATTAATAGTAATAAAAAAGAGCTCTTGCTTCTTAGTTAAAAATGTTTAGTCACTAATGATTTTTTGGAAGATATTAGAAATTCATTGGTATTTCACAGGACAATCCAAAAGCTGTACAAAGAAAGTCTTCATCCAGATATGATAGAAACCCACAGTTTATAGTGTTGTGATGTTTGTTATAATTTGGTTCAAAATTAAATATGAAATAATGGAATGCTGTAAGTAAAAAGCAACTAGTTATAAAATGAGATTGGATATATATGTTGCTTTCCAAATTAAGGGCAACATTTTGTGTTTTTCTAATCTTGTGCTATTCTGTTTTATATTGTTCTAACTTTAAATATTATTGGTTAGAGTGAAGTCCTTGTAAATGTATTGAAGAACTCTCTACACAACATGTTTTCCTAGGTTGGGCTGTACTTAAAACTTTTAGGATGAAGTTGATTACTATTCAACTAGGTATTGTCTACCCTAGAGTATCCAGTTGATGTTTTTAAGCTTAATAAAAATAAGAACTATATGAACATAATCCTCAAGATTTAGTAGTTAGATTTTGTTTTTCCCCCACTGTCATCAGGTCTCACTTCCTCAGTTGTGGCCATAGGGAGATGCTAATGCTGAAGCTGTTCTTATCTTTGTCTTGGTGGATACACATGTGTTCACTTGACATTTCCTAAGTGCCTCTTTTTTTTAAAGTATATTTTATTGATTATGCTATTACGGTTGTCCCAATTTTTTGCTCCCCTTTATCCCCTGTACACCCTGCAGGCCTCCCCCTCCCCCCACTTCCAGTATTCCCCCTGACCCTTAATTCATGTCCACTGGTTGTACATATAGGTTTTTTCACTTCTTCATTTCCTATAACATTATTAACCTTCCGCTGTCTATTTTATGCCTACCAATTATGCTTCTTATTCCCTGTACCTTCTCTGCCCATTCTACCTCTCCCCCTCCCCACTGATAACCCTCCATGTGATCTCCATTTCTGTGATTCTGTTCCTGTTCTAGTCATTTGTTTAGTTCTTGTTTTGTGTTTTAGGTTCAGTTGTCGATAGTTATGAGTTTGTTGTCATTTTACTGTTCATATTTTTGATCTTCTATTTCTTGGAGAAGTCCCTTTCACATTTCATATAATAAGGGCTTGGTGATGAAGAACTCCTTGAACTTCACTTTATCTGGGAAGCACTTTATCTGCCCTGGCATTCTCAATAATAGCTTTGCTGGATAGAGTCATCTTGGATGAAGGTCTTTGCCTTTCATGACTTTGAATACTTCTTTCCAGCCCCTTCTTGCCTATAAGTTTTCTTTGGAGAAATCAGCTGACAGTGTTATGGGAACTCCTTTTAGGTAACTGTCTTCTTTTCTCTGGCTGCTTTTAAGATTCTCTCCTTATCTTTAATCTTGGGTAACTTAATTGTGATGTGCCTTGTGTGTTCCTGCTTGGGTCCAATTTCTAAGGGACTCTCTGAGCTTCCTGGACTTCCTGGAAGTCTATTTCCTTTATCAGATTGAGGAAGTTCTTTTTCATTATGTTTTAAATTAAGTTTTCAATTTCTTGCTCTTCCTCTTCTCCTTCTGGCACCCCTATGATTAGGATGTTGGAACATTTAAAGTTGTCCCAGAGGTTCCTAAGACTCTCCTTATTTTTTTGAATTCTTGTTTCTTCATTTTGTTCTAGTTGGATGCTTATTTCTTCCTTTTGTTCCGAATTGTTGATTCGAGTCCATTTCCTTCCCTTTATTATTGGTTCCCTGTATATTTTGCTGTATTTCACTTTGTGTAGCCTTCATTTCTTTCTTCATTTTGCAACCGAGATCAATAGATTCTGAGCATCCTGATTCCCAGTGTTTTGAAATGTTCATCAGATAGGTTGTCGATCTCCTCACTTAGCTCTTTTTCTGGAGTTTTGATATGTTCTTTCATTTGGGCCATGTGTTTTTTTTTTTTTTTTTGTCTCAGAGCACCTTTTATGTTGTAAGGGGGCAGAGCCTTAGATTTCTTGGGGCAGGGCAACTCTCTTTGCTGTGTTGTGGTGCTGTCTGTGGGGGAGCGGTCAGAGAGGGAATAATGCCGTCTCTTGTTCTGCTCTAGCCCCACTTTCCAACAAACTTTCCTGTGAGACTGGGACTTTTTCCTGCCTTCACAACCCCCACAGTATTTTACAGCTAGAGGCTTCGAGTCTTTAGTTTTCCCATCTGCCAGCCTCTCCTTACCTCCTTGGTTCTCTCTCCGCTTGCTGAGCTGCCCGTCTCCACGTCTCCACCCTGCTACTAGTCTGGATGAATGTTTTCTTTAACTTCTTGGTTGTCAGAGTTCCATGCAGTTTGATATTCTGGCAGTTCTGGTTGTTTATTGTTTTTCAATTAGTTATTATCTTTCTTTTGGTTGTGTGAGGAAGTGAAGCATTTCTCTCTATGCCTCCATCATGGCTGCAACTCTGTGAGAACCTAAGAACCTGTTCTTATAACATGTGATGATGTGATTTTCAAGCTGGGGTCCATGTATTGTCTTCAAGGGATCGTGAAATAACAGCTGTATGAACCAAATACTGGGGGGGGGGATGTTGCCACTTAATGTGTTACGATGAGGATAGCATTTAATTAAAATTTGGCATCAAATTAAATAATTGAAATGTTAAGTTACTTTAAGAAAAAGTTTGACATAAAATTAGAAAGTCCAAGTTCTGTATTAGCTTTATGGACATGTAATTTGGACAGGGGAATTAGCTTCTCGCCATCAAATACGGAGTCACAGGGAGGAGAAGGTTCTCGGGTCTCAACAGTGACCTTTTATCCCACAGGCCTGGGCAGATGATGTGGCGAGGTTTCAGAAGATGTTCAGACACCCGCCCCATGTGCAGCTGAAGGTGGTTGCTGGCAACCATGACATTGGCTTCCACTACCAGTAAGCAGTATTGTAACAAGTGCTCTCGCTAACTATAGTTTTGAAACTACAAAAATTGAGGTGAAAGCTTTACGTGGGCCGTGTGGGAGAAATTTGTGTAAGATGTAAGCTCTGGAGTGTAAGCTCCATGAGGGTAAGCATTTTCTTGGTGCGCTGTACACCTTCAACAAATCTCTTAAATGAATGACTTGTGTGTGCCTTTGGTGATTCTAACTTAAAAGTTAGTTTTAATGGCCAGTTATTTTTTTTGGGAATTGGAAAACAAGATAATTTAGACTTAATAGCTAACTATATAGTGCTTATGTGCCAGCCTGCATTAAGCACTTTATTTCCATACATTAACTCATTTAATCTTTATATGTTCCAATTATTTTACCCATTGTACCTGTGGGAAAATGGAGGCCCTGGGCACTAAGTCACTTGCCATATAGGCCTCACGATCAGTCAGTGGTGGAGTCGAGAGCTGCACCTTGATAACCTGGGGCCAGCGGGAGCTCTGAACTAACAATGCTAGTTGGGGGCTCAAATCTCGAAAGGTGTTTTTGTGTGTGTGTGTGTGTTCATGATGACTCTTAAGAGGTTTTAAAGTAGCTTATTCTGAAAAATGTTCCTTTTTACAATTGAATATAGGATGGACACATATAGAATAAAACGATTTGATAAAGTTTTCAACCCTGAAATGCTGTTTTCATGGAAAGGAATCAAGTGAGTATTATTTGTGAATTCAATGTCCTTTAGTCCTTGGAAACTTAATTTTTCTAAGGTGACTGCCATACTGGGTCAGACCCATGGTCTGTCTGGCCTGGTTTACAGTCTCCGACAAAGGTGCCCCAGGCTGTCCTCACTGATGGTCCCCACCGGAGTCGCCACACTAGTTTTCCCCAACAATCCACAGTAACTGGGTCACATGACTTTGCCTAATTACTGAAGGAATTTTATTCTTTCTGTCAGCACTGTCTCTGGGTAATATAATTTAGTCCACTTTGTAAAGGGGTATTTTTTATTCAAAATTTACTTATTTCATTTTATAAAGGATGTTTCTGTGGTTATGGTGTCCTAGGATTTGATGACAAGTGTGCTTGCTCACTGTGCTCCGCAGCTCTGTGCCTACCCCTCCCCCTCCACCAGCCTTGATTTTTAGATCAAAGCTTCTTAACCCTTTAGCCTGACCATCAGTTCCGGCTCCCCCTCTGCAGGGCAGTTTTTGTGCCCATCTCTGTCCCTGGACCCTTTCTGGTCTCTGTGTGTGTTTGCAGCAGAGTGGACCAGGCAGTACATACACACTATTCTAGCTGCAGACCTAGTGGAAGGAAAAGGTGGGAGAGGGTTTTTCCCCCTGTTTTGATCAACCCCTTCCCATGGTATCCAGCACTCTGTTGGCTTTGCCCAGAGCAGCTCACTGGGCCCATCAAATGGTAAAGTCTAGGGAAGCTCCCAGAGACCAGGTTTCAGTGGGTTCTCCACAAATGCTCACTCCTTCCCTCCTTTGCCTATAGAACAGTCTCTAGTAGCTTCCTTTCCTGAGCCATAATGGAGACTTGATATAGGGCATAAAGCTTTAGAAATTTTAATTAAACACACTGATCATATTATTTGATTAGTCAGTTATTCATCTCTAAATTTTTTTTTTTAATTTTTTTTTAAATTTATCTTAAGAGGGGAAGGGAAGGAGAGAGGGAGAGAAACATCAATGTATGGTTGCCTTTTGTGCGTCCCCTGCTGGGAACTGGCCTGCAGGGAACCTGCCTGCAACCCTGGTATGTGCCCTGACTGGGATTCAAACCGCGATTGTCTGGTTCGCAGGCCCGCGCTCAATCCACTGAGCTACACCAGCCAGGGCTCATCTCTAAAATTTTTAAAATTTCAGTCAGTCTTTATGACAGGTACCTTATTCATGCCCAGTTAATATGAGGGTAGGAAATAAAAGCATATTTAATGGGAGTTTATAGAAAATGTAAGTAAAGTAAAGTGGTTGCAAAGGAGAACCATAACTGACTCCACTTGGGATTATCCATACCAGTCAGCTGTAACCAGCACTCCCACCCCCAAACCCTGCCTGTTTGCTGAGTACACAAACATAACCGAACGTTGCCCATACTTCATTTATGTAATAACAATATCTAACATTCACCGAGTACTTTCTACTGGCAGGCCCTAGTCTATGTATTATTTTATTTCACTCTTACAATGGCGATGGTGTGGGTGTGCTATTTATATCCCCATTTTGCAGATAAGGCACAGAAAGGCTACATAACTTGCCCCTGGACACATGGTTCAATGCTGAGCTCAGTGGGAGTGTGTCCTCAGAGCTTCTGTACTCTTGGATTTCTCACAAGTTCTGGGTTACATATCCTTTTACCATGTCTTAGACTTCATGCCCAATAATGCTATTTTGTTTTCTCAGAATTGACTCCTGCCTACAAACACAGATTAGTCCAGTTGAGATTTAAAGTTGTTCTGGGTGTTTCTTTACCCTGTGGATGCCTAGCTTTCATTATTGCAAAGAAGGTAACACACAGAAAGCCCCCTGACTTTCTGCTTGCTCCCGGTAGTTTTGTGATGGTCAACAGTGTTGCATTGGAAGGGGATGGCTGCAACATTTGCTCTGAAGCAGAAGCTGAACTCGTGAAAATTTCTCACAAACTGAATTGCTCCCGAGAGGTAGGAGATCATCTGAATAGTACAGGTCCTTCTGTTCTGACATGTTCTAAGGGCACTGCCAATTGGAGCACTTCGTGTATTTCCCAGTGTCTCAGCTCCCTCTTCCCTTCCTACGTGCACTGAATAATGGGTTTACTAGGTTAATGGACTGATATCTGACCAGAAACAGCGTGCTAGCCACTGTAAGAATGGGCAGCTGCGGCCGGCATCAGCCCCAGTCCTTCTGCAGGTGAGGTGGGGAGAAAGCAGCTCCATATATTTGGTGGAATTACACAGGGGACTATACAAGTCACCTCTCACTCTTCTCTAAATCCCGGACAGCATTTTCCACTTTACCGGAGAAGTGATGCTAACTGTTCTGGGGAGGACGCTGCACCTCCAGAAGAAAGGAGCGTTCCCTTTAAGGAGAGATATGACGTGCTTTCTCGGGAGGCCTCACAAAAGGTTTGACAGTGTGCCAGACTCTAAAAAGTCACTCAAAGACAGGTGACTTTTGTTAGTGTGACTGAGGGACAGAGGGCAGTATTTTGGCAGTATCTCCGATATTTGTGTCATCGTTTTGTTCCTTCCCACCCACCTAGTAAATCCACTTCTATTTCCTAATATCCAGTTAATAATATCCTCAGCTATTCTTTATTCAGGGTTTTTCCACCAACTTAAATGTATTTGGAAATGTAACTAGAACTTAAGAGTTAAATTTTTAAAGATTCTCAAAATGCTCTTTCTTAAATATATATTTATATAATATATATTATATATAATAACATATAAATGCATTTATAAAATAAATTTGTAAATATTTATAACAATAATGAAGTCTGGGATAAGAGGAATAGATTCTCTCTAACAGCCTGAACTTACTTTTGATAGAGTCTAAATAAACCAAAGGAGTTTAAGGAAAAATTAAAGCAGTCCTATGAAGTAGGGATTTCATATTTAACTTAAAGAAACCAGCAGTGGCCTAGCTCTGGGTCCTAGCAGAGCTCTGCAAGCACTAACCACCTTTTGCTGTCCCCTGGGTACGGTAGCTGCTGTGGTGGCTCCAGCCTCGCCTGGTCCTGAGTGGCCACACGCACAGCGCCTGCGAGGTGCTCCACGGGCCAGGGGTCCCCGAGCTCAGTGTGCCTTCTTTCAGCTGGAGGAACAGACACAACCCCAGTTTCATCATGGTAATGTGAACATTTATTTTTGTCTCAAAGCTTTCATAAGTATTGAAATTAACACGGTAGTCAACTATTAATTGCTACACTCTGTAAAAATATACAAAAGCTGTAAATATTCTTCCCCGTCTCCACAGGCACACTTAGTTTGTTTTACTGCCCCCTGTCTGAACACCTTCCTGGCATTATTCCAGAGGGGTGAGGGAGGAGCAGCTTACAGAGTATTTTATCCTTCAGGGACAGCAGTGTCCTCTGATATTAGACTCTCTGTGTTTATTTAAGGAAACTGGACCATTGCTTCATTGGCTGTACTCAGCCATCTTGTCTTGTTGTTCAAAGGTGCCCATCTACTCCGGCAGAAGAATGCTGCAGCTCTTATAAGTTGACTAAGGATGTTGTTTCAGTTAGTGATTACCTGATGTTTCAGCTCCTTTCTTTTGCCCTTGGGTTGCAGCATCCAGTTCATAATGCTTTTATGTTGGGTGCTTCTACTTCATAAAAAGATGGGAAAAACCTCATGTTGTTAAATTCAAAGTAGTAAATGACAACATTCCCCACAGCAAAAATATCTACCAAAAACAGAAAAGCCCATTCAGATGCCTCGAGCACATTTATATGTAGGTGACACATTGCTTATTTTACCACCAAGTGCATGAAGAATAGCCGTGTACTCCTGTTTCTTGATGACCATTGCCTCTAAATGTCCATGCCTCTCTGAGTAGCTTTCAGGTATGCTCACTACTTTAGAGGAACCCCTGGTTCCCCTCTCACCACTGCTTGGGTAGGCTGAAGGCTGTGCCTCCTTAAGTTCCCAGTGAGGAGAGCTACTTCCCTGCTTCACCTAAGTAAGCCAGGAAGGCTGCCTTTCCTCCACTGTTTCTGAGTCAGATGGATGTGTTGAGCTGTGCGTGGAGCTCTTACTGCAGCATAACATTCTTGTTTCCTTTCCAGGGCAGCATGACGCCCACAAAGCATGCCCTGGCCAAGTGCTACCTTCCCCTTGAGGACACGGTTCTGATCACATACTGTGGAGCAGCTGGGTTCCTTGTGGTCATTATATTAGTTGACCTTGGACTTCTAGCCTCACCTTTTCTTCTTGGTTGTAAGCTGCTCAGAAAATTTAAGACAGTGTGAAGAGCAGGAGACTTTTTGCATTTAGTAATAAATATCAAAGCCAAAGAAACTGAACATCAGGCAGTGCTCATGTGAGATGAGACCAAAATAGACTGTCTTTATGCACATCATAAAATTCTAAATCATTGGTGTAAATTACTGCAGAATAAATAGTTGATTGTACTGTTTTCATGCTATAAAAATGGAACATGTAGTCTACGACAACTGTGCTTTCTCATTATATCAAATATCTGTATAATCAAAGATGATAACTGTACAGTATGTAAATGCTATTAATGTCATCATATGCATGCACTAGACAGTTCTTCCTTCCCCAAGGTGGAGCCAGTAGCCTTGGAGCACACTTGGGATTAGTTATACACAAACCAAACACTGGGTTTGCTTCTGTCCTCCCAAAAAGCTGTTCTCAAATTCCTATATATTATAAAGCTGTACACTGAAAATAAATGTACAGATGCTACAAGCAGGAATGTATTATTTACACAGACTTTTGTACTTCTGTGCTAAATTAATAGAATCAAATTTTTAGGTAAGTGTAATTTTCTGTCCAGCAGACTGAGTTGTTAAATTTGAATTTAATGTCTGTCATTGATCAAAATAAATGTGAAAAATGGACTAGGAAGTGGCTTTGTCTTTAAAAATAAATATCTTGATAATTTTAAGCCAGATTAAAATATATTCTTTTTGTATTTTTTCTAAGAGTGTAGTTCTTTTTTTCAGTCAAACTTTTAAATAGAAAGTTTGGTTACTGGGGAGTTACTGAGTAATAGTGCATGTAACAATGTACTGTTTCGTTTCGTGTCTGTATATGTGGGGGTATATCTGTTCAGATTTTCCTTCATTTTTTTATTTTGAAGGCGCAATGAAAACTCAAAAGTTCTGCTTTATATGTTTCATTTCAACTGAGAGTTTTGTCAAAAAGCTAAGAATGAGAGGGGCAGGGATTCGGTGATAATGAAATAAAATATGTGTTTGTTGCCTTGATTGTCTATAAAGTTGCCATCCTTTCATGTTAAAGTTAGTAGTATTTAAAACTGGGTAAGTTTATAAAGGATTCTAAAAATGCTAATTACATTATAAACTTTAAAATACTTAACAAAGACTAGAAGACTAGAAGGAAGTCACTGAAGTAATGCAGGCCAGGCCATGACCTCTCTAGCCCTGTACTGTTGAACTGTAACCTCGGACATCATCACAGATTACCTTTGACCTAAGGGAACTGCCTGCCAAAGCTGTGGTTGTGGAGAGAATGTAAATGTTCCTGCTACAGTGACTCTTACTTTCTAGAGTATCATAACTTTTGAGGCTGCCTTTGCAAATCTTTCATACATTTTGACTTCATATTTTAAATAAAAGTTTTGTAATGCGTCTTCTTCAAAAGAAAATGTCATCCTTTGATTCTCCTAAGTAGACACAAATGTTGACACCCTTTTGTCTTTTTCTTCCTATTTACTGATGATGGATTCCCACTGAGGGAACTTGTAAAAGTCTTTAAATAGTAAAATAATCAATAAACATCTTGTCTGGAGAGAAAAAACATTCTTGGTTTCCTGGAAGAAGCTTGTGATATTAGTCAGCATTAATTGTAAGATGTGGAAGAGTGATGTGTATAATATATGTGTACATATAATTTTTTAAAATCAAGGAGTATTTTTCAGTGTCCTGATAAGATGTCCTAAATTCCACAGATACTGTTTGTTCCCTTCCTTTGAGCAAGTGGCAGGTTATGTTGCCATTTAGCTGTCAGCACAATAAAAACACATTTCTTTTACTGGTATGGCCATAATCAAGGCACATAAATCTATAAGGATTTTTCTTCAGGAGTTATACAAAATAATATTACATTTTGTGGTCTGTACATTGTAATAAACCAGTGATAGAATAACAACAAAAATAATATTTGAAAGGAGACTGTTGCCCAAGCATTGCGAAAATCCAGAGAATCATTTTTAGACAGGATAACCTTTGCAGTAGTGAATGTGGTAGGTTTTCTGCCTTTGAGCCTAAAAGGCTCAAAGTAGCTTTAATTTAAATGCCTGAGGCTGGCAGATACTCAAAATATTACTGAAAAAAATGTTTTCTTGCCATTCTGTGGCTTGGGGCCTCCTCTAAATCTTGGGCTAATGCAGATCAGAAGAGGGGGCCTCTTTTCCGTTTGCAGCTTAAAGCTAGAATTGGAAAGCCTGGCTCACCACATTGCACAAGTGACTCTCCAGTCATGCCACGTAACTCGGGAAAAGTGTGCTTCTCCGGCATCTATCAAGTTTTGAATTAATCAACAAATCACTGAATGGATGAATAACAGGAGCCCCCACCCAGAGAAATTTCACTGTAGTGTCACCCAGGTGAGAATGGATGGTTTTCAGTGACCCAAATGGGCGGGGGTGGGGAGGTTAGGGGAGGCCATGTTCAGTGAGAACAAGAGCTACAAACCAAACCTGAGGGTAAAGAGGTAGCCAGAGGCTTGGCGGTCACACATGGAGAGGACACAGAGCAGGACAGACGGCAGCGCAGAGGACGGTGGGAACTCACTACTTTCTGCCACACCTTGGGGCTGACAGGTAGTTTGGAAATAACTGCTCTGCCAGGTGTGGTAGCAGAGACAGCGGGCGGAGGGAAGACGCCAGAAGGCACGCCCACCGCCCTGGACGCCTCATAAGAGTTCGTACTGTTTGAGGTGCATCCTCTGGATAATGTCTCGGCAGTCGTTGAACACCCTGCGGATGTTCTCCGTGTCCACAGCGCAGGTGAAGTGCGGGTAGCAGTAGTGTTTGCCGTCCCCTGTCGCAGTGCTGATCCTCTGCAAAAAAAAAAAAAAAAAAAGGCGTCTGTGCACTGGAGCCCTGGCCACTGCACCCAAGGGCACATGGGAACGCAGCCCCCACCCCATTCATTCTTGGATCAAAGAGTAGAGGGCTTGGGTGTTGTCTTGTTTGTTTGACATAGAAATACAGAGCTGTAGGGAGTGTCTACTGAACACACAACTGGAAACCCAAAGAATTTTAGCTTACCTCTTGCCCACAGAAGCTTAGAATTCATTTGAGACAGGATGAACATTTAAAAGACAGCCACTGAAAACAGAATTTAGGGTACTATTTTCCAGAAATGAAGGTCTAAACCAACATCTTTTGGTGGAACTTTCGGCGATGATGAAAATGTTCTATATCTTCCCTGTCAGTAAGGTAGCCACTGTGCTGAGCTGATGCAATAGAGACTGATGTTTAGTTTTATTTAATTTTAATTTAAATATCCACACATGACTAGTGGTTCTGTATGGGTATAACCTCAGCCACGTTGCTTCTTCCTCCACACAGACCTTTAGCATTTCCTAGGGTGTCCCCGGGTTAAGTACTCGGTGGCCAAATAACTGAGAAACACTGAGTTAAACATCATCAGTCATGATTCGTGAGGACATCTTGGAGTGACGTGCTCGTTTGCATTGTGAAGCTAAGTGGGGCAGTGTGGAGAGGGGCTGTCATGGGCTAAATTATGTCCCCCTCCCCCACTCACATGTTTAAGTCCTAACATTCAGCACCTCAGAGTGTGACTGTATTTGGAGATAGGGTCTTTAAAAAGGTAATTGAATTAAAATGAGTTCATTATGGTGGGTGCTAATCAGTAAAATGGGTGTCCTTAGGAGATAAGGACAGACACAGAGGGAAGACCATTTGAGGACTCGCAGGGCAAAGGTGAAAATCTACAAGCTCAGTAAGAGGGCTCAGGAGAAATCAACCCTTCTCACACCCTGACTTTAGACTTCCAGCTTCCAGAACAATGAGAAATAAATTTTCTTTGTCTAAGCGAGCTAGTCTATAGGACTTTGTTATGGCAGCCCTGGCAGACTGATGCAGGGGTCATCTGGAGCTTTCTTCATAGGTGCCCACGGGAATCACCAATGTCCTCTTGTTACTCCACTCCCACCCCCTATTTTTCTGCAAAGCAGCTCAGGAGTCAGCTGTTGGAGAAATACTGGGGCTCTGCAAGGGTGTTGTGCAAATGTTCATCGGGTTATGAAAAGCCTAAAAGAAGAGACGTTTGTAGCAGTAGTTGGTCTTCTCTTGAGCAATTAAAAGTTTGCTTTTAAGTTAAGGACACCAAAGTCTGTAAGTTACATATCTTTTTAGCCCTAAAACACAAGGTGAGGTGTGTGGCACAAGGAGAGTAAGTGCATAGTGAATGAATGAAAAGAGGCTTTCTTCTGCAACAGTGTGACCAGTTCCTCCCTGGCTGGAAAGGAATGGAGTTATTACAAAGGTTGTCACAGTTTGCAAATTTTAAACAGTTTAAATCTCTAAAGAAGCTAATTTTCATTAAAAATAATATGAATAAGTTTGTCAAGGAAAACTGGGCAGCTCCAGAGTCTGCTTGGCTGGGTCACCTAGCTGCTGCCTTATTTTCTGAGGCCCTTTCTTAGGAGATAATGGTCAAGGTGAAAAAAATCTGAGATGATCTGGTAAAATATGAGGAAGACAGCTCAGAAAACATGCAGGTTTCTAACATACTAAGAGTATCTGGACACAGAGTCGTGACTATACACTTACTACCTTTTGCTTTAAAAGGTTTGGCAACACTGGCCTTGGAAGAGACTCTCTGGTCCAGGTCTGGGCTGGGGCTTGTAGGTGGTTTCCAGTTTGAGGGACAGACCTGGTTGACTATGACTGGGGGGTGTTGGGGGCTGACTCCCTGGCCCTCCTTCCTTCTGTTTCTTTCTGTTCTAAGATCCTCCCGTTCTAAGATTTTCTAAGATTTTCTCTGTGGGAAGAAATGACCTTGCCTGAGACAAACCTCCTGGTGGTCAGTCCCCTCCTCACGTAGTGACATTTAAGGAAAACGCTCAGACAGCACAGGGCCCCTTCTCGTAGAAGGGTTCCTTTCCTTGTGCCCTCTCCCTTCTCAGCCCCCCCTTTACCCCCCTAAAGGACAGATCCTCTCCCTGTACCTCTCTTTCTTCTTTTATAACCTTTATTCCCCACCCTCTCTTGGGGCCTTGTGTTACCAAAAGTATCTTTTCACCTAAGATTTGCTCTTGTCCAGATTAAATCCTAATAAATAACCAATTTTGCAATCCACTCTGGATGCCTTCTAAGTCTGGGGCTGGGGGTTCCAACTCAAAATTTCTTGGATGACTCACTGCCCCAGGCAAATCCTACAATAAAAAAATGTAAGCTGATGCCTCCCATGCCTTTATTTCCCTGATTTGCAAACTGTATACAAGCCAGGTCTGTCCACTGTTAGAGAAGAAAAGATTTCTGCCCAAGGACTGAATGGTGGGGGCATGACCATTCATATTCTATTTCTAATCTTTATCTAAATGCCCAATGTGCACACTCGATTATTGTGTCATTCTCATTAGAATAGCATTTGTGGAACACTTTTTAATGCGTTTTTATATATTATAGTCTTGCAAGATACTCCTTAAGAAAAGAAATCTCGAATCTACTAGAAGCTCATTTCCCTGAGTGAAGAGACTCACAAAATGCATTAGCACAGCAAAGGTTCCTAGAAGTCTGACAACAGAGAAACTTGTCGTACTTTATTTAACACAGCACTTCCCAGATGGAGTCATTACACAGCCCTTTCCCAGCAGCTTAACCTGTTACTTCCAGGGACACTTGTTCCTCAGATCTCACCTTGGGACTTGGTTTCTTACCCTTGTTACTTTCTCACTCAGTATAGGATTCAAGAGGCAAAAGGCAGCATCGTGAAAGGAGGGTAGAGAAGCGGTTTCCAGGGCTTGTTGTGGTGAGGATCTGATTCCCATGGAAAGGCCCGCCTCCATGGGCCATGGGCCCGCCTCCTGGACCATCCCTGCTGCAGACTGGTCTGACTTCCAGTTCTGCACAATGGACATGTGCCAAATGCTGTCTGGGTATGACTAGAACATGGTCTTGGCTAAGTCTTGGCATCTGTTAGTTTCCAGCTAGTGAAAATTTGTAGCCAGTTATACACTGTGGCTTATTCAAATGAAAAAAAAAATAGATAAGGCAAATATGGTAAAATTTTACCAGTTGGTCATTTTGGGTGAAGAGTTTATAGTAGTTATTTATATATAATTCTCACTTTTTATGTAAGTTTAAAATAATCTTGAAATAGAAAGTAAAAAAAAAAGTCTGATTCTGAGCATGTCCATTTTCACATTAATTTTAGCCTCTCTGTGTTCAATGGAAGACAAAGGATTAAAGGAGGACCCTGCATGGGGGCTGGTATTTCAGACTCTGCTGAAAGACTCTCCATTTTGGAAAATACAGCAAGCAAAAGGGTCTAGCTTGTCTTCATGCCATTCTTGCTTGTTAGTTGTGTTGACCTGAGGTGAGACATGTAATGTCTCTGAACCTCAATGTGCTCAGTGATGAGATAAAGTAACAATACTCCTCTCATTTCTCATAACTTGAGGCAAGATTAAATGAGATCATGAAAGGGTAAGTAATTTGCAAATTGCAAAGAACAATATAACTCTATGGCTGTAGGAAAACAAAGATTAATAAAATTGCTTACCAAGAACAGATCTCTTATAAAGAACTTGGCTCTTGTAACTTTGGGATCTTCTCCTGCATCTGGTGTTGCTGTAGAAAGTACAAATGGAATTTTAATTAAGTAATGTGGACCAGAGATACAACTCTGGAAAATATAAAATGAGTTACAAAGTTGGATAGCAGTACACTTATAGCATTAAAAGGCATACAGCTAAAATGGCAAAAAGCTAAAATGTCACTTTCATTTTTCTTTTCTCCTTTCAAATCATTTTAATAGTTATAACTCTCATAAAACTTTCTTTTTTGGTGGTGGGGAGATAACTTCCACTCAAATAAAATGAAAGCATTTCATTAAACACTGGCTAGGCCCACAGCTGCCTTCACCTTCAGCACTCTGGAGGAGAGAAGACCCAGAAGTCTCCAGGAGCTGGGTGCCAGGCCTGTGGCTGTGACTTCAGCAATGGCTCTGCTCATCTGGACTGTGGGGCTGCATTCTCATTCTACTTGGCTTGTTCTTAGAAAAACCCTCTCTTATTATTCCTACTACAGACTGTGGCTTCTGTAGCCCCTAATTAAAATCAACTGTGGTGACCACTCTGCTCTAGACCCTTTAGAGCTTTTCTCCCATGCACATTCTAAGTTCATGGAATCATCATTCAATAGTTTCTGTGGCCCTGTGAAATTTATTTTCCTAAACTCTAGGCTCCAAGTCAGCTTGTTTTCATCACTCTCTTTCCTTCTCTTTTATAACTGCTGTGGTACTGGGGAGCTCTGCAGTTGCTGAGTCATCCCCGACCTGGAGGCCTGCCATGTTTGGCCAGGACAGGTGCCTGGGCAGGCCCAGTGCAGAGGGGAGAGAGTGAGCAGGAGAGGAACACAGGGTAACTGAGTGTGTGTAGGGTAAGATCACAATGTCACAAAATGTGGGCAGGAGGAGGAGCACAGCATAACCAAGGTTGAGGGGAACAGTGTCACTGAGAGTGTGGGGGAGTACACAGTGTGACTGAGTGTGGGGGGAGGAGCACAGTGTCACTGAGTGTGGCAGGGAGGAACACACTGTCACTGAGCGTGGTGGGGAGAAGCACAGCATTGCTGAGAGTAGGAGAGTGAAGCTTTTACTATTTCCTAGACAGGTCAGTTTGGGCCTCAGCCTGTGGTAAGATTAAGTCAGTGTTAGTAGGGATCATAAGCATGGTGTGATTGTGTTTCAGAAAGGTGACTTTTCAGAACTTCAGAGAGTTTTCTGGAAAGCTGAGTGACCAGAGTCAGGGAACTGGGGCTACAAGCTGCATTGACTTGATCCATAGCTGGGAAGAGGGGAATGAGGGTCAGGACCAAGGCTATGAGGGAGAAAAAAAAAAGGAAGACTATGTTATCATAGATGGCATTTAGGAAGTAATCTCCACAGAGCTTGAGTATTGATTGGTTAGGTGAGGGAATAGGGGTGGGGAGACTGGTGTCTGGGAAAGTTAGAGTTAGTTGCTGAGAGACAGATAATCCAGTAACAGAGAGGGCAACACAAGGGGTGTTCTGAAGATTTTCCTCAGGCAGATGGCACGTTACCTTAGCCTTGGAAAGCACACCCCTAGGCTGTCTAAGGTTAGTGCAGAGGCTGATGAATTTTCTTAACTTCTTTATGGAAGTTTCTAGGCAAGTTCCTTTCATTGTACTTGATCTAGTTTGGGACTCAAATTTAAGACGTGGTATTATTTTGCTATAAGCAAATCTGTTCTACAAGAGCCTGGTTGCCCAGTGTCTACTCAAAACTGAAGAACAGCAATTGGAAATGGGGTTATCAACTCTGCCAGGGTTTGCCTGGACAGGACCTTCTTGGCTTTAGCAATGAAAATCCCAGGGCCCAGGAATACCCACAGATGGTTGATCTCCCTGAGAAGTGACCAATGTCTAGCTAAAGTCATCCCTGGAGAAAAGAAATGTAAACATGGTGACTGAAATCACAGGCTTCAAAGTAAAGGGTTCAAAACCTGCCTTGTCCTCACAGGTTCTACCTGACTGACTTTGAACAATTGACTTTACCTCTCTCAGTCCCATTTTCCACAAGAAAACACAATAATAGAAACTCTCACATAGGGTTATGGTGAGGGTTCAGTGTGAAGGTCAATGTAAAGGATTGCCCAGTTCACAGCAGTCCTAATTGAGGTACCAAGAGGTAGAATTTATCCCAACTAGTGACATACTCACACCTAAAACTGCCCTTTCTCCAACTGGACAGTTTAAATGGAAAGTCAAACTCTGAAATTTTTACAAATGGAATCCTACATAGGATATTTTAATATTCTCCTACTTGAAGTGGGGCAGTTTTTTAGAGGATTGATTTTAATTAACTGAGTTTTCTAGATTCACCTGAACTGTTTGAATTATAGTTACAGGGCTATTGAAAGAACAATTAAGTCTTTTCCTTAATCAGGAACAAACAAGTTTGTTTTGAACTCTTACCATCTTCAGGAACAGTATAATTTGCATACTCTGGGAAATAATCTTCAATTTTTGATTTCCCTGCCAAGACTTTTTCTGCCAGCATATCTTGTTTGTTTAAGAACAAGATTATAGAAATGGTCCGTAACCACCTGAAAAGGAGATATAAATATACAAATTTCACATCCTCTGTATGGGCAAGTACATCTAACATAGGAGGAATTTAGTGAAAAGGACAACATTGCCACCTTCCTGGTGATATATAGGATTTCGCATTATTTAATACACCAATATCTTGGTCCCCCACTCCATCTATAAGAAAGATATTCTTATCATGATAAATAAACATAGGAGTTGATTTAGCAGTGTAGCACTTTCTAACTTATCTTCACTAAACACGTAAATTTAATGGTACCAAAGCTAAGGTTTACTTACATAATGAATATACTTGGGTTATGGCAGTATGATTTACTAATAAAGGGTCAAAAGCTAGAAGTTAAGGGAAGATACAGAACTCATTAGCTAATCATACAAAAAATAGTTTGCAGCTGCCTTGGTTCTTCCCCTGACACTGATTACATTTGAGGTTCTCCAACCTGGAGCAGGATGTTAATCAGGTCTATATCACTGCACTGGACAGGACAGGTTAAGGGGAGAGGCTAAGATACAGTGAAGGTGTAGGCTGGAAAGTTCTTTGTTTCATTAAATAGATGCTGAGAAATGGCTTAACATGATTTCAGTGTGTGCATCAGCAAGCCTTTAGAAATTTTATGACTTCAAAGGAATCAAGCTGATGATTAGTGCACAGGAATCTTACTATGAATTAGAAACACAATCCATTCTTCCCCAAAATGGAAATAGCCTTAAGGTTTCTTCTAGTTAAAAAAGACAAAAAATGTAATTAAAATGGCAAAATTCAAAGGAAAACAGAGAATCTTAAAGACAGCAAGGGAGAAACAGGAAGTAACATACAAGGGAGCCCTGATAAGGCTAGCAGCTGATTTCGCAATGAAAAGACTACAAGCCAGAAGGGAATGGCAAGAAATATTCCAAGTAATGAAAAGCAAAGGCCTGCAACCAAGGCTACTCTATCCAGCAAGCCTCTCAATTAAAATGGAAGGCAAAATAAGAATTTTCCCAGAAAAAAGAAGGCGGAAAGATTATACCTCCACCAAAACAGCACTCTAAGGTATGCTAAATGGAGTGCTTTAACAGTAGGGAGAAAAAGAACACAGGTACAAGGGGGACAAAACTGTAATGAATAAGTATATATCAATAATAACCTTAATTGTAAATGGACTAAATGATCCAATCAAAAGACACAAGGTAGCTGAATGGATAACAAAACGTGACCTGCACATATGCTGCCTAAAGAGACCCACCTCAGAACAAAAGACCTACAAAGACTGAAAGTGAAGGGTTGGAAAAAATATTATAAGTAAATGGACTGGAAAAAAAGAGCCAGGGTAGCAATATGTACACAAAATAGACTTCAAAATAAAGACCATAAAAAGAGATGAAAAACACTTCATAATACTCAAGGAAAGAATACATCAACAAGACATAAATATTATAGACATATATGCACCCAACATAGGAGCACCTAAATATATAAGGAAAATTTTGGAGGACTTCAAGAAAGATATAAACAGAAATATAATTATGGGGATTTTAACATCCCACTGTCAACAATGGATAGATCTTCTAAATAAAATATCAACATGGATATTGTGAGACTGAATGACCCATTAGATCAAATGTACTTAACTAATATATATAGAACCTTTCATCCCGAAGAAGCAAGATACACATTCCTTTCAAATGCACATGGAACATTTTCAAAGATAGACTACATAATAAGACACACCAAAAAAAGCCTCAACAAGGCTTTTTTCAAGAAAAATTGAAACATCAAGCATCTTCTCAGACCACAAGGGCTTGAAACTAAAAACCAACCTCAAGGAAAAAACTCAAAAACACTCAAAATCATGGAGATTGAATAGCATGTTATTAAATAATGAATGGGTTAAGAATGAGATCAAGGAGGAAATCAAAAAGTTTCTGGAAACAAATGAAAATGAACACTCAATAGTCCAAAAGTTATGAAACACAGTGAAGGCAGTCCTGAGAGGGAAGTTCATACAGGTACAGGACTACCTAAAAAAGATAGAAGCATTTCAAATTAACAACCTAGCCCTACATCTACAAGAACTGGAGGAACAGCAACAAATAAAGCCAAGAGCAAGTAGAAGGAAGGAAATAACCAAGATCAGAGCAGAATTAAAGACACAGACACTAAAAGCACAATTGAAAGGATCAATAAGTCCAGGAGCTGTTTTTTTTTAAATATAAACAATATTGAGAAGCCTTTAAGCAGATTCATCAAGGAAAAAGGAGAGAGGACCCAAATAAATAAAATTAGAAATAAATCACAAGAAATTACAACTGATACCACGGAAATACAAAGGATTTTAAGAAGTTAGTATGAACAACCATATGCCAAGACATTTGAAAACCTGGATGAAATGGAAAAATTTCTATAAAAATATAATCTTCCAAAACTGAATGAAGAAGAAGCTGAAAGCCTGAATAGACCTACAACAACTGGTGAAATCAAAGTATTAGTCAAAAACTCCTGGCACACAAAATACCTGGATCATGTGGGTTCGCAGGAGAATTTTACAACACTTAAGGAAGAGCTAACTCTATCCTTCATAGACTATTACAAAAAATCCAAGAAAGAGAAGACTCCCAAACTCTCTTTGTGAAGGCAGTATCCTCCTAATACCCAAAACAGATATCTAAGACACAACAAAGAAAGAAAACTACAGGCCAATAGTGCTGATGAACACAGACGCAAAAATCCTCAACAAAATATTGGCAAGCCACATCCAGCAATACATTAAGAAGATCATACACCATGATCAAGTGGGATTCATCTCAGACATGCAAGGGTAGTACAATATTCACAAATCAATAAATGTAATACATCAGAAAAACAAAAGGAAAAAAACACAAGATCATATCAATAGATGTGGGAAAAACATTTCATAAGGTACAGAACCCCTTTATGATAAAAACACTCAACAAACTGGGAGTAGAGGGAATATACTGCAACACAATAAAGTCCATATACAATAAACCTATAGCCAACATTATACTCAATGGGGAAAAAAATAAAAGTTTTCCCACTAAGATCAGAACACGACAAGGATGTCTGCTTTCACCACGTCTATTCGACATAGTATTGGAATTCTTAGCCACAGTGATCAGACAAGAAAAAGATGTAAAAGGCATCTAAATTGGAAAGCAGGAAGCAAAATTGTCATTGTTTGCAGATGAGATGACACATAAATTTTCCGAGTGTACCCCCCAAATCCTATAGATTCCACCAAAAAACTACTCGATACAATAAGTAAATTTGGAAAAACAGCAGGATACAAGGTCATATTCAGAAATCAAAGATATTTTTTTGTATACCAACAATGAAATATCTGAAACAAAAATAAGGAGAAAAATCTCATTTGCTATAGCTACAACAACACAAATAAAGTACCTAGAGAACAAAAACTATTATTTTTTAACCAAGGAGGTAAAAGACCTATACTCAGAAAACTACACAACTCTGAAGAAAGAAATTAAGGAAGACACAAACAAATGAAAGCATATACCGTGTTCATGGATTGAAAGAATTAACATCATGAAAATGTCCATACTACCCAAAGCAATTTAAAGATTCAATGCAATTCGTATTAAAATACCAATGATGTATTTCACAGATACAGAACAAACATTTCACAAATTTATATGGAACCATAAATGACCCCCAATAGCTGCAGCAATTTTAAGAAAGAAGAACAGAGTAGGAAGATCACCATAGCTGACATCAAACTATACTACAAGGTCATGTAGTGTAATCAAAACAGTCTGGTACTGGCATAAGAACAGACACGCAGGTCAATGGAACAGAATAGAAAGCCCAGCAATAAACCCAAGTCTCTATGGTCAAATAACATTCAACAAAGAGAACAGAAGCATAAAATGAAGTGAAAATAGCCTCTTCAACAAATGGTGTTGGGAGATTGGACAGCTACATGCAAAAAAATGAAACTTGACCACCAACTTACACCTTACACAGAAATACTCAAGGTGGATAAAAGACTTAAATGTAAGTCATGACACCATAAAAGTCCTAGAGGAGAACATAGACAGGAAAATCTCAGATATTCCACACAGCAATATTTTCACTGATATGTGCCCTAGAGCAAGGGACATAAAGAAAAGGATAAAAAAAATAGGACTTTACCAAAATAAAAAGCTTCTGCACTGCTAAAGAAAACATCAGCAAAATGAAAAGGGAAGCAACCATGTGGGAAAACATATTTGCGAATGATACCCTGGACGAGGGTTTGATCTCCAAAATATATAAAAAACTCACACAACTCCACTCCAGGAAGACAAACAACCCAAATAAAAATGGGCAAAGGACCTGAACAGACACTTCTCCAAAGAGGACATACAGAGGGCCCAAAGACATAGGAAAGGATGCTCGGCATCATTAGCCATCAGAGAGATGCAAATTAAAACCACAATGAGATACCCATCATAACCAAATCAACGAACAAGTGCTGGCCAGGTTGTGGAGAAAAGGGAACCCTAGTGCACTGTTGGTGGGAATGCAGACTAGTGCAGCCACTATGGAAAACAGTATGGAATTTCCTCAAAAGACTGAAACTGAAACTGCCTTTTGACCCAGCAGTTCCCCTGCTGGGATCATACCCTAAGCATCCTGAAACACCAATTCAAAAGAACCTATGCACCCAATGTTCATAGCAGCACAATTTCCAATAGCCAAGTGTTAGAGTGAAAATGGAGACAACTGTACTTGAACAATAAAAACCAAATAAATAAAAATAAAAATTTATTTTTACACACATACATTTATGTATTATTAGATCAAATATAATATATATATTTTATTATTCAGAAAAATATATATTATTTATGTTTTATTCAAGTACAGTTGTCTCTATTTTTCCACCACTCCCCTCTGCCCCACCCATCCCTACCTCCCACCCTCAAACCTACTCCCCTTTGGTTTTGTCCATGGGTCCTTTATACATGTCTCTTAATGACCCTTTCCCTTCTTTCCCCTATTGTCCCCCTCTCTCTATCCCTCTGGTTACTGTCAGTTTGTTCTTTATATCAATGTCTCTGGTTATATTTTGCTTGCTTGTTTGTTTGCTTAGGTTCCATTTATAGGTGAGATCATATGGTATTTGTTTTCATAGCCTGGAAGATATGAAAACTTGGCTTATTGCACTTAGCATAATGCTCTCCAGATACATTCATGCTGGTGCAAAGGGTTGGAGTTCCTTCTTTCATAGTTTTTTGATCCACTCATTTACTGATGGGCACTTAGGTTGCTTCCAGCACTTGGCTATTGGAAATTGTGCTGCTATGAACATTGGGTGCAGGGTCCTAGAACACACACAAACCCACCAACCTGGAAATCAGCACCAGAAGGGTCTAATTTGCTTGTGGGTAGTGGTGGAAGTGACTGAAAACCAGCAGAGAGTGGAGAAAGCGCCAGTTTCCTCTGGGACTCCTCTTCCACATACAGTGTCAAAATGCAGCTATGTGGGTTGCCCTGCCCTGGTGAACAGCTAAGGATCCGCCCTTTACTACATAACAGGTGTGCTGAGACCAAAAAAAAAAAAGGCCCAAATGAAAGAATAGTTCAAAGCTCCAGAAAAAATACAACTAAGCAATGAAGACACAGCCAACCTATCAGATACAAAGTTCAAAACACTGGTTATCGAGATGGTCCAGGAACTCACTGGGTACTTCAATGGCATAAAAAAAAGCCAGGAAGCAATGGTCACATTATGTGAAATAAAGAAAAATTTACAGGGATCCAACAGTGATGGGAAGGAGACCAGGACTCAAATCAACACTGTGGACCAGAAGGAAGAAAGAAATATTCAACCAGAACAGAATGAAGAAACAAGAATTCAAAAAAAATGAGGAGAGGCTTTGGAACCTCCAGGACATCTTTAAACGTTCCAACATCCTAATCATAGGGGTGTCAGAAGGAGAAGAGAAAGACCAAGAACTTGAAAACTTAATTGAAAACATAATGAAGGAGAACTTCCTCAATCTAATAAAGAAAATAGACTTCCAGGAGGTCCAGGAAGCTCAAAGAGTCTCAAAGAATTTGGGCCCTAGGAAGAACACATCAAGGCACATCATAATTACATTACCCAAAATTAAAGATAAGGAGAGAATCCTAAAAGCAGCAAGAGATAAGGAGACAGTTACCTACAACGAAGTTCTCATAAGGCTATCAGCTGATTTCTCAAAAGAGACCTTACAGGCAAGAAGGGGCTGGAAAGAAGTACTCAAAGTCATGAAAGGCAAGGACCTTCAGCCAAGATTGCTCTATCCAGCAAAGCTTTCATTTAGAATGGGAGGGCAGATAAAGTGCTTCCCAGATAAGGTGAAGTTCAAGGAGTTCATCATCACCAAGCCCTTATTATATGAAATGTTAAAGGGATTTATCTAAGAAAAAGAAGAAAAAATATGAACACTAAAATGACAACAAACTCACAGCTATTAACAATGGAACCTAAACAATAACAATAACAACAAAAATAAACTAAGCAAACAACTAGAACAGGAACAGAATCATAGAAATGGTGATTATATGGAGGGTTATCAGTGGCGAAGTGGGAGGGGGAGAGAAGGGGAAAAGGTACAGAGAATAAGAAGCATAAATGGTAGCTAGAAAATAGACAGGGGGAGGTTAAGAATAGCATAGGAAATGGAGAAGACAAGGAACTTAGATGTACAACCCATGGACATGAACTAAAGGTGGGTAATGTGGGTGGAAGCAGTGTGCAGGTCAGAGGGGAGTAAAGGGAGAGAAATGGGACAACTGTAATAGCATAATCAATAAGTATGTTAAAAACACTAACAGAACTTTATCAAGGAGCAGTCCCATGTTAAGTATGTCTATATAGAGATGGACTAAAGAGATACATTTTATAGTTTTGGATTCATCAGTAAGGGAAGAATGACTATATCTGGAGAATAAAAATAAAAGTGAGCTGAATGATACTTTTAATGAAAGAAAATCTGCAATACAGTGGTGAGACTGAATTTCTTAGTTTTGTAACCTGTTGTTCCAGATGCTTTCGAAAAGGTCTAGGGACTCTCTCAGCCTGTTGGTGTTGTTATCTTCCCGAATCACCATGTTGTAGCTACTGCAGGCCGCCACGTAAATGATAGCGGTGACGTCTTAGTGAGAGAAGAGAGAAGAAGTTAGACAGATGGCCACTAGGGGTTATGATAAAGTACACATCCCGCTGCTACCCATTGGCAGGGTAACTTTCTTTCCATGAGTATAAGAATGACCTGAAGTGGCTCTGTGTGTGTAACTGCTTGCTCAGTAATGTGCCCAACCAGGAGTCTACCCACATTAGCAAATGGTAAATGGAAATTCGGGATCTTAAATTCCTTATTTCTGAGATTCACATTGAGGGCATTTTATAGATGACATCATTCAAAACCACTTAAACATAGTAGCAGGAGCGAGTGTGAACATTCATCCTATTATCTCGAGAGCATAGAAATCACCATTAAAGCACTGGATCCATTTTCTTCTCTCGTCCCTCTGGCCACCAACATCAAACATGCTGTGGAAGGACAACAGGACAACAATTATTTGGGGGTGTGGGGAAATACCCTGCCCTTCTGTGCTCTTCTCCATTGCTGTACAGCTTGCAGCCCCACCTGTGTGGCCTCAGCAGACTGCTCGGGCCCAGCCCCAGGTTCTGCACTGGGTGCCAGGCCGACATCCACACCCAGTTACTTCTCTCACCCAGCTCTCACCCTGCAGTAATCAGGCTGGCTCAGGCCCCTCTTCTCAGGGCAGCCTGCACAGTGTACCCCTCTGCCTGAGTTTTCTGGCTGCAGTTTCTCTCTATTTACCCCAATGCCTCAGATCTTTCTCACCTTCTCAGTCCTTTCCAGTCTTGGATTCCTCCCTTAAACTTTCTGCATGTACCTCAGGACCACGGAGTCTGTATTTACTTATCCAAAAGGATGGCAGTGCACATTTGGGATTCTGCTCCCAGAAGCCTGAGGGCTGTGGGTGGGAGCTGGGTCCCTGGGCCCCAGGTCCTGTAGGGCCCCAGCAGGCAGCAAGGAGAGCTTCCTGCCCACAGCTCTGCAGCAGGTCTGCTCTTGACAACACACTTACTGAAAGTTTACTTTGTCCACTTGGAATCGTGTCTCAAAAATCCCTGATGTGAGAACTCTGCATCTGAGAAGGTCCTGAGAGCAGGAAGAGAAAAGCAAACCAAGTGACACCATTGTTTTCCAGAAGGAAAGCCCTGGATATAACTGTATTAGTTTTTCAAAGAGCAGTTTATTTTTTTTATATCAGAAACAACAGTAATATGGTAATGAAAATCTCAGATGAAGTGTTCTATTCCCTCCCACCCCAGAAAGTTACAGTTACAGCATCAAGAGGCTTGAGAGCTGTGCTTTTCTTTTCTTTAGGATTAAAAGAAAATCACTGATAAATGTAGCCTCTGACTGTCATGCTCCTGACAACCACATCACACCCTTAGTGTTCTGAGCAGAGATGCTGCCAGTGCTCTCCTGGTACAACTGGGGAGCCAGCTGCTTTGGGTTCAGAATGATTTGGGTGAGAAACCAAAGGAAGTATAACTCTGCATTCACAGATCATGGAATTTTTGAACTGGATGCTAGTTGATTTAAGATCTCTTCCTCATGTACTTCTATTCTAAGATAAGAGATGATTGTAGTCTGGAGGGGATAAGAAAGCCAGTTTTACAAAGTTGACATCTTTTGTACATTTGTCAGATGTCAGGGGTATTTCTTTTTGATCACAAATCCATTATGATGTTAATGAAGCAGATCCTCCAATCATTGTGGAAGCTGGGAGGTGGTCCTTCCCTGCTAGCCTGATGAGAGTACTTAGGACAGCCTCATGGAATTGACTCAAGACCAGGAAGGCTCCATTGCTCTGCCCGGTAATTCTGAATTCTTGGAGTCAGCCTCAGAGACAGGTGGAGTTCAAGGGATGGAGATGTGTGTAGACCTCCAGGAAGGGCAGAGAAGAGAGAGCCTTCAAGAGGGGCCCACGACCAAGGCCCTCCCAGGACACAGACACTAGGGAGTGTTGGATGGAGGGAGTGTGAATGAAGACCCTGTAACTTTGGATTTCAGTAGCTCTGGAGGCATCTAGAGGACTCTCAAGCTGAACAATTCAGGGTTCTCCAAGTTTCTCCAGATGCCTGAGGGTCAAAGGTTTTCTGGGACACAGAAGGTCTCTCTCTGTTACTTACAAAGGGGTATTTTTTTCTGGCTTAAGCTCTGGACAGCCTGGAGAGTGAGCCTGGAGAGTGTTTGTGACTCAGACAAGGGCCAAAAGCAGAATGGGCAAAGTTTATGAAGCTGAGGATGCAAAGGGCTAGTTTTCCATTGAGACCTCCCAAGAGGAATGGGAATTGCTTAGTCCTATTGCACAAATAAAATTATTTTGATATTGGGAATTTAGCACATTTCAGAGAGCTAAGTCAATGAGCCAATTAACAGGGCATGGTAAACATATCGTGTGTGCATACAGGGTTCACACAATTTGCAAGAAGTAAGTTATTTAAAGAAATTTTCCCTTAGTTCATTTAAAATAATGCTTGAATAATGTCAAGTTCTTTAATCTCACAAGGTTCCAATGGGTAGCTGCAGCTCTAACTTCACGTACCTGGTCTGTGGGAGTGTAGTCCACCAAGCTGACACTGTCAATTCTTTCCAGGAAGCTGAAAAGCAAGCCAGCAGTACTCAGAATGTGCTCTGATGACTTTCTCCTACGTAGTGGGTGATATATGGGTCAGTCACACAAGCACAGGAAGACAGGGCAGCAGAGAGCCTTGGGGACATTCCTATTTTCTTTCCCATACATGTGTCTCCCCAGGTAGCATAACATTCCTGATTGAGGGGTTACTGCCACCTCCTTTTTTCTTTTTACCTCTGCCTTCCCTATTCCATCTTGCCCACTATTGTAGGGTTGGGAGTGAGAGGCCACTGAGAAAGTGGAAGGGGGCACAGGCCTCCGTCCAAGGCTAAGCTAGAGGAAAACCATGCTGCCATGTAAATACAAAACAGGAAGTGAGAGATGTTCCTTTAGCGTAATAAGTCCTGATAAGATCCAAAGGTGAGCGGGTGTACACACCTGGTAGAAGCTATAAGACTGGTCCCAGAAGTCTGATATGTTACACAAATGAAGTCATGGAGAAGTAGGTGTAAGGAAAGGAGATCACATCACATCTGCAAGTGGAAGAAGACAGGCCCAGGTGCTCTCCCTGCACTGAATCGCCTCTCTCCCCTGGCAGAGAGGCCACCCCTCCATGTCTAAAGTAGCCACCTTGTCCATCCCCAGGCCAACCTTGCTTTATTTCTCTACAAACACTTACTGTGGACTGACATGTTTTAGATTTGTTTCTTATCTGTTTATTATCTGTCTCTGTCTCAAAATTTCAGCCCCCCAGGACAGGTCTTTGGTTGGCCCAGGGGTCACCAGCACTTCTAAATATTTGTCTGATGAATGGACGTTTGCTCGCCTCCTCCTCTTGGAGCTGGCAGAGGTAAGTGCCCAGCCCCCAAAGGACATTGTCATGTTCAAGACACAAGAAGAGATGGGAACTGGTTAGCTGGTGGTCAGAAGACCACTTCTGGACAGACTAGGGCAGTGGGGCTTCAGGAAAACATGCGAGGAGAGGAAGGGCATCTCAGTGGCCCACGCTTTCCCTGGCCAGGGGAGGCTCCTACAGTGGGGAGAGTGAATGTGACTGAGACAGGGACAGGGTCTTGCTTCCCTGTCTGACCAAGCCTGGAAGGTTTGGGTTCCATCACTGGTTATATGAAATAAAGCAATGATTGGGTCTTTCTCTAAGCCCTTGTGCTTGGGGTCATATTGCATAGCACAGGGTGTTACCTCCCATCTCCACACGCTCCCCGACCAGACTGCCTTGTAGGTCTTGAGGTGCTTTCAGCATGGGCAAGAGGGAGGCCAGAGATGCAGTAAAGCCACTTAATTCTTTTGGCCATCTTCATTCTTAGCTAAAGACAGTCCCAGTGTCCTGGTGCTGGGGTGACATGCTGGTGGCCCTCTGTCCATGAACCAATGATCTGACACAAGACCCAGCTGCTGCAGGATCAAGAGGCAACCCTGTGGCAAGTAAGCCACCAGGCTGATGTTACAGCTGCCCTTTCAGACACAAAGTGGTGGGGGCAGTGTCAGAAATGAGGACATTTTATCTGGAAGCCAGGGCCAGTCCCACCCAAGGGGAAGCAGCTGTGGAGACGGTTGTCTGTCACTACACTGCCTGCTATGGGAGAGGTCAAAGAAACTGAACTGCTCCTGGAGGACTGCAGAGCTACAGCCAGGTGGCAGGGCCACTGAGAAGCCAAAGGGACCCTGATCTGCCTGCAGTCTTTCTGGTGCCTGTGTACAGAGGTAGGTGAACTGTCCCGGGGTGTGGAGCTGGTGTGTGAGATGGAGCAGTCTGGATAGAATACAAATAACCGTGGAAATGCCACAGGGGGGTACATTGTGGAAGCTGGAAGAAGATGAAGGCCCCAGGGAGTGGAGAGCCCTGCCCTTGCTGGAGACCTGGTTTGAAAACCACAAAGCAGTTTGGCTAAGCACTTGGTGCTCTTGAATTTGGTGGAGTGAAGAGTGCCTTGGAGTACACACTGAGTTTCTGACCATCTAGTAGGAAAGAAGCCAAAAGATTAGTGATGAAGTGAGAGAGGTTTCTGCTCCTGGAAAGAGAGCTCTGGACTATAACCAAGACAACCAGCAGGGTCTTGGATGGGAAGATGAGCTGCTCCCTGCCCCCACTTCCAACCCGTGGGCTATAATAATTTGATTTAGAAATGATCTGTCCCGTTTTCTTGGCTGGGGACATATAATACTGACCTGTGATACAGAAACCGATCATCTCTGATTAAAAGAGCTGGAAGTAACTAAGTAACTAAAAATTAAACTAAATATAAAGCATTTGGCTATAATTAGAGTTTAGGAAGCAACCAATTTCTATCAGGATTCAGATGGGGGGAGGGAGGTGGGTGACTTGATTGAGATGGTAATAACTAGTATAAGTAGAAACAATGCAATATACTTTAAAAATACATCAAAAGTTTCTGATAGATGAGATTAAAGATGGCCTTACAAAGGAAGCATAGTACCTTCCTGAATGCTGCTAAAATCAGTGGTTCTGAGGTGTCAATGACAAAGGCAAAGATGTCAAGTTCTTTTCCCATCTCTAGTGTCCAGGATGGATACTAAAGATCCTTTAGGCTCTGATGCTTAGCCATCTAAGCGAGACCTGAGAAGCATCAATGAACATTTCCAAGTGTATCTTCTGAGTTGTTACTGATGCTGAATGGTATTCTGCATTCATAGGTTTCATGTTTGTGCGATGAAAATAAGAAGTGAAAACTCCCTTTGAATGTAAATGCATCCCCCAGTTCTTTGAAAGACTCTCTAAGGCAGGGGTGTGAAACTCATTTTCACCAGGGGCCACATCAGCCTCGTGGTTGCCTTCAAAGGGCTGAAATAATTTTAGGACTGTATAAATGTAACCACTCCTTTACTATTAAGGAGTTGAAATTACATTCAGCCCTTGAAGACAACCACAAGGCTGATGTGGACCCTGGTGAAAATGAGTTTGACACCCCTGCTCTAAGGAATAAAGAAATTAAATAAAAATCTATAATAGTAGATTTATGCCAGCTTTTTGACTAGATCTTTTGTTCAATCCACATACTTCCCAGCATGTTATAGGAGGACTCCAAATCAGGGGTCCTAAGATAATATACACAGGGATGATTTTTAAAAAAATCCTCACTTGAGAACATGCTTATTAATTTTAGAGAAAGGCAAAAAAAGCAATTTATTTCTTTTTTTCATTTTCTGCTACACCGGAGGATATTTATGTTTGCAGATGCATTTTTAACCTCACTCATCATCTGGATCTTTCTTTTGTTTGATACTGGTGCAAAATATCTATCCATTGTTTATATCTCATCTACTGTCTGCCCATCCTCAAAAATAACTTAAAATTCAGATTCTTACAGCCATGGAGTCAATCATGAGAGGGGACAGGAAGAATCATGCAAATATGACTTTTTAAAAATTTATTTTAATTTTATTTTTTTAAGTATACTTTGTTGTTGATTATGCTATTACAGTTGTCCCATTTTCTCCCCTTTATTCCCCTCTGCCCTGCAGCCCACCTCCTACCAGCATTCCACCTTCCTCTTAGTTCATGTCCATGGGTTGTACCTGTAAGTTCATTGCTTTCTCCATTTCCTATTCTATTCTATTTCATTTCATTTTATTTTATTTTATTTTATTTTATTTTATTATTTTTAGAGAGAGGGGAAGGGAAGGAGAAAGAGTGGGAGAGAAACATCAATGTGTGGTTGCCTCTCATATGTCCCCTACTGGGGACCTGGCCTGCAACCCAGGCATGTGCCCCAACTGGCAATTGAACCTGCAACCCTTTGCTTCATAGGCCCGTGCTCAATCCACTGAGCTACACCAGCCAGGTCCTATGTTATTCTTAACCTCCCCCTGTCTATTTTCTACCTACCATTTATGCTTCTTATTCCTTGTACCTTTTCCTCCATTCCCCCTCCTCTCCTGCCCTGCTGATAACCCTCCATGTGAAATCCATTTCTGTGATTCTGTTCCTGTTGTAGTTGTTTGCTTAGTTTGTTTTTGTTGTTTACGTTCAGTTGTTAATAGCTGTGAGTTTGTTGTTGTCATTTTACTGTTCATAGTTTTGATCATCTTTTTCTCAGATAAATCCCTTTAACATTTCATATAATAAGGGCTTGGTGATGATAAACTCCTTGAACTTGACCTTATCCAGGAAGCACTTTATATGCCCCCCACCATTCTAAATGATAGTTTTGCTGCGTAGAGTAATCTTGGATGAAAGTCCTTGCCTTCCATGACTTTGAATACTTCTTGACTGCAAGGCTTGTTTGAGAAATCAGCTGACAGTCTGATGGGAACTCTTTTGTAGGTATCTCTTTCCTTTTCTCTGACTGCTTTTAAGATTCTCTCTTTATCTTTAATCTTGGGTAATGTAATTATGATGTGCCTTGGTGTGTGCTTCCTTCGGTCCTGCTTCTTTGAGACTCTCTGAGCGTCTATCTCCTTTATTAGATTGGGGAAGTTCTCCTTTATTATGTTTTTAATTAAATTTTCAAGGTCTTGGTCTTTCTCTTCTTTTTCTGGCACCTCTATGATTCAGATGTTGGAATGTTTAAAGATGTACTGGAGGTTTCAAAGCCTATCCTCCTTTTTTTGAATTCTTGTTTCTTCATTCTGTTTTGGTTGAATGTTTCTTTCTTCCTTCTGCTCCAAACTGTTGATTTGAGTCATGGTTTCCTTCTCTTCACTGTTGTTTCCCTGTATATTTTTCTTTATTTCACTTTCATAGTCTTTACTTTTTCTTCTATTTTACAACCATACGCAAACATTTCTGTGAGCATCCTGATTACCAGAGTTTTGAACTCTGCATCAGATAGGTTGGCTATCTCTTCATTGCTTAGATCTATTTTTGAAGTTTTGTTCTGTTCTTTCATTTGGGCCATATTTCTTTGTCTCAGGATACCTGTTACATTGTAAGTGGTGGAACACCTTAGGTATTTGTCAGGGCTGGGCAATCCACTTTGCTGCACTGTGGCTCATATAGCGGGGGAGGGGTCAAGAGGGAACAGTATTGCTTGTTGGCTCTTGGCCAGCTTTCAGTCACTTCCCCCACTAACCACAAGCAAACTGGGCCCTTCTGGTGCTAATTCCCGGGGGGGTGGGTTTATGATGTTCTATGACCCTGTGGGTCTCTTCAACGAACTCTCTTGTGAGGTTGGGAGTTTCTCCTGCTGCCACAACTCCCACAGGTTTTTCCATCCAGAGGTTTTGAGGCTTTTTTTCTGACCTGGAACCCTGGGTTGTGTGGTCTGTCTCGCCCTCAGTTTTTCCTCTCAGTTTATCTGCATGCAACTGTGGTACCACCGGGTCTGCCAGCCACCACCTTTCCCATCCCATCCTCCAGCTGCCACCTTGCTGTGTGTCCTTTCCACCCTGGCTGCCTGTTTCTGTCCCTCCTGCCAGTCTGGATGAATGTTTCCTCTTTAACTCTTTGGTTGTCGGTCTTCCATACAGCTCAGTTTTCTGGCAGTTCTGGTTATTTTTTGTTTCTAAACTTTCTATTGCTTTCTTTTGGTTTTGCATGGAGGCAAGGTGTATCTACCTACACCTCTGTCTTGGCTGGAAGTCCTAGATGACTTATTTAAGAATCATTATTTAAAATGTATATATTGGCTTAAGTATTTAAAATGATATCTTTAGTTAAGATATTTAAAATTTAGCAAGTTGTAACTCTGTCAAGGCAAGTAAAATCTTTTCTTTCATTGCAATTGGTTTCATGATCCTTATTTTCATGATACTGTGGAGTGACAAAGTACCAGGCAATTCTAATGAGCAGCAGGTTAAGATCCATGCTACTTATGTAACCATGCAGAAAAGCCATTTTATTTTATCTGACATTTTCTCCTCTTGATGTATACTGGCCTCATCCAAAACCCTTACCCATTCACCTTCCTCTCCCTTGCACAACCAATCCCTTAATCATTAAGCCCCCAAAACAATGAGGTTCTGGTTGGCATCAAATAACCTCAGGAACAAAGCCTGGGGTCTAAGTACCACAGAGGACGACAATATCTAAACCTCTGTTATGTTTCAGCTCCAGAACCAGAAAAATGCAACATCCCACTGACCAAATCCTTGTGAAACCAGACAGAATGAGAACATGGCTGACATCAGGATGGGATGCAGTGATCAACTACCCCCTACCTTAGCACTGGCCAACCAAGAGAGACCACAACCCTAACTCCCTTAGTCACCACGATTAATGATCCCCTCATATGTAAATCCATCCCCTAGAAGCCATTGGGAAGCCAGGTCTTCGAGCATTAGCTCACCTGTTACTTTGGGCATAGCACCACAAAGAACAAACCTTCATTTTCTTTGTTTCAAGCTGCTGTTCAAGTTTTGTTTTTGGCTCTGAAGCCTGCAGGCAAATGGACCCTTTTAGTCTAGTAACACTTAAAAGGTGCTGCAGCAGCGTCTGCAGACCTTGGAAATCGGGATTTGCAGCTGCACCATATCCCCAGGTGAAGCAGTGGTTCATGCACACATCAGTTTGAGAAGCACTGTGTCTTTTCTTCTCCATTTTTACTGCCATCCAACTCTAGGCTCTCATTTGTTTTCATCTGGACAATATAGTTTCTGTGATTCACGCTCCTGCTCCTTTCCTTAGGGTAAAGTCCACTCTTTTAATATGGCCTCCAAGCCATTCACAATCTGCCTGATCTCTTTCTTCTTCACCCTTTCTCCTGTCAAACCCTACACTCCAGTCAAATCCCATGTAGTTTTTGGCCTCTGACCTTTGCGTAATTCCCACTTGTTTTTCTTTGAAGTCCCAGACTAAATCCAATTCTAACAACCAGATACTGTATTTCTATTCATGTACTTACTGTTTCATGACTTAATTAGCATGGTATATTGCCTTTTACTGTGGCTCAACATTTTTAAAAGTTGAGGTATAAAACACACAAAGTGTGTAAAATGCACTACTCTTGTGTTCATCTGGATGACTTTTCTACATCTGTATACACTCATGTCCATTTTTCTTTTAATATGTATGCCTTATCTACATAACTAAATTGAGTGCCACTGAAGGCAGAAGCATGTCTTTGATTTCTAGAAAGAAACCTAAGATAACCAGCACCTGATATATTTTAGCTTAAATCTTTTATTGTAATCAGTCATTCTGAATAAACACTGCTGGTTTGTTCTGACACTATTTAGGAGGGAGGATACATAAACCCTCAAGGGCAGGAGCAAACATTTCAATTAGGAAAAATGCTATAAAGGAAAAGGACACAAGTGTTCCGAGGAAATATAATGGGGCTCTAGTCATGTTCCCACTGCACCCACCTCACCCACTGTGTACACGTCATTAGAGAGCCTTAGGCATGATCATGAGGAAGGTATACATTCACACAAAGACATTAGCAGGAGCACACTGAGCTGGGGACCAACCACAGTAGGCCCAGAAATTGTCATTAAGGCAGAAATTGTCATTAAGAGACATTGTCAGTCCTTCTCCTTATGGAGCTTTGCATCTAGTTGTAAAAAATCCTAAGTAAACAAGGCAGGCATTTTTCTAATGCCCATGGATTGTAAGGCGGGGGCTGGGTGGGGAGACGGGGCCCTGCTCATCAGTTTGTTCAATGTCCACTGGCTTGTGGCTTTTTGTCAGTAGTACTGAAAGTCTTGAGCTTTGGATTTTGGCTACAGAAACACTTCCAAGAGGGTGTTGTGCATATTGCAAAGAAAGAATCTAGGACATAAGGTCCCTTACTTCTGCTTCACAATGTGAGAATGTCGGGCTGACCCTGAGACTATATTTAATTAGTAAGGTTATCACAGTGGTGCTTATTTTAGGTGGCTCTTTTCCAAATCAAAGACAGCTGGGTAGGCACACAGCAACCAAGACTCATTGAATGTCTGTATTTAAAAGGCACATACATGCATTAACATTTCATCAAGAATAAATAGCTTTAGTAAGGAAGTTCTCCAATAAAGCACATATCATCTGAGCTGAAATAAACAGTTCATAAATAACTAAAAATTTATCCTAGGTCCATGTTAGGAACTGTACATTTGCAGGCAGGAAAATAAAAATAAATAAAAACTGTACTAGTAGTTGCATGGAAGATTATTTAATATTTCCTTGGTATGTTTGAGTTGGGTCTTTTTGAAAATTAAAAAAAAATTAGAAAAATTAGAAAAAATATTTTGAAAAATCTATTTGTAGCCTGGGGAAGTTTCAGTATGAGGAAGTATCTTGTTGACTTGAAGAAACTATTATAGTAAAGAAGTACCAGTAATAGCTAGGGCTTCTAGAACTGTGCATGAAAATTCCATGCTAACTGAACAGAAATTCAGGTGGTAAGGGTGAGCTTGGAAAAATACCATGCTTTCTGAACCAAACCTACCTCTGAATTAATTTTCTTAAATAGCTTTTAAAACAGGATACACAATCATATGCAGTAACCTGCAATTTTAAGTGATTTATTTGAGAAACTTCTGTGGTTTACATTTCAGCATTTCATCAACTGCAAAAATGAGAAAATAATTCATGGGTCTAATGCTTTTGAAGCAATATTTATGGTTCCTAAAAATATACATTTATATAGTTTGAAATGAACATATTTTAAGAATGCTCAAGCTTATTCAATCTTGCAAAATATATTATTATTGTTGGGAATATTTGTATTATAGAAGGGTCTTCAATTTACAAAAGGATTCAACACTAAGCTATTTTTAAAGTATTATTTTTTCCAGTCTAAAGAGGGGTTACCACTCTTGCTGTACTCACGCAACTGCCTTTGTGCAATCATGTGGATGAGATAAGACACAAAAAGGGGAGGAATTCTAGAAAGATGTGGGGCAGACAATGAATAGGTGTCCCTTACAGAAGACTTCAGAACAACAACCAGTTAGATATAAAGATACTTAAATATGAAGGTCAGTTCTCATCTGTACACGTTTACCCCCTTAAACATGCTCTCATTTGCCCTGGAAAACATGTTATTAATGGTGAATCTTTCAAAGGGCCTGTGAGTCCCTATAATTATTTTCTGGAACACTGGAATTCTCTTATGGAGAAATCTCCCAGTGAACAAAAAGAGGAATTTAAAATATCCACAAGTACTTAGATTAACATACCTGCCAACTCAAAAGCAAACTGATGTTCTTCATGTTTTGAGGCTATGAGAAAGTTTTGGCTACAGGTTCTCCTTTTCAGCCAGAAATTGGGACTGCCATTCCAGAAAGGTGGAAGGCAGCGCAGCTAGGCTCCAGCACTAAAGGAGCAAGCATGCTGTCCAATCCTGCATCTTTCTTCCCCAACTTTCAGCTGCCTGCATGGCTAAGTAAAACATTCCAATTTATAATTCTAAGGTTTTTAAATGAGTTGTTTTAAGAACGTAATAAATGCAAATAACTATAATGTTAAATGCTGTTCTAATTTTATTTCTATTTTTGGTTGTTAAAATCAAAAGAAAACCTAGAGTCCCAGGATTTTCTCAAATCAATCAATAGTTCTTTGGCAATGTTAGAGTGAGTAATGTGACTGCCATGATAATATCAACATATTTTGTAAGAAGTCTAATTAAAGTGTTGAAATAGGAAAGTAGCTAGAAATGTTAGAGAAGTTCATTTAAAAGAAATGCCATACGTTAAACCCTGTAAATCTTTTAAAAACCTCTTTAGCAAATGAAAAAAAACCATAATTGAAAACTTTTTCCTTATAATGGAAGTTACGTGGCATACTTTTTCATTATAAAAGACAACTACCACACAAAAAATTTACCCAAAGTAAACAATAAGAGGGTATTACGCAAGACTGTCCTAAGGTAATTTTAATGTTGTGAAAACAGATTAATAGTCAACTGTAGTCCCGTTTTGATGGCAAAAAACAAAGGATACACAGAAACAGCACTGCCCATAAGTTGAATGAGGTATTTATAGCCCTGTAATAAAAAAATCATTCTCTTAAATTTTTACACACCATACGCCAATTTAACAAATTTTCAATTACGCTAAATTAAAATACCCTTCAATTTTGACAATTCGGGCAGAAAACTGTATACAAGGGAACTAAAGATGTGATCAAATTTTTGAGAAAGATCCATATACTCCAGATTAATCTTGTTAAAAGGTAGCTATAAAAATACACATCACAAGCTATACAGAATTCCTTAATGTATCTAAGAACACTGTAAACCCAAAGGCAGAAGCATCTTAAGAGCATTTCAGCATTCTGGCATATTCAAAGTTTTTAGTGTATAATCTCTCTCTAATATACACAGAGCATTTCAAAAGTTGGCTACAGGCAGGAAACCTCAGAGTGAGTTCTGTTGTCACACTTGGTCTCGCAGGCGGGCCAGTCTCTGGGATAGTTCATCCTGCTCCGCGGAGGCCACACTTGCGCCTACGGAACCGGTCTGCCCCTGCGGCAGCTCCATGTTGAGGTCTAGGCCGGCTTCGTCTGCCATTTCCTGGAGCAGCATATCCACTTGGTTTTGGGGAGTGGTTAGCGTCGTGGTGCTGCTCATCGTGTCTTCCATTTGCTGCGTCTGGACGTCCAGCGTCTCAAATTGGTGCTCGAATTTGTCCATCAAGGCAGAGATCTTCTCCAGATTCATGGTTTTCAACGTCGCATCCATCGACTTAACCACTCCAGCCATCGACTTGGTCACCTTGCCCATCGTCACCGCCGTCTGGACTCTGGCAGCCACTGCGTCGACCCGCGCACTCATTCTCAAGAAATTCACCGACTGGTTCTTCTGGCGAATGGCGTTTTCAGCATGTATCCTTGCAACTTCCATGTTGCCCTTCTGAATGGCCTTTTTAATTTTGGCCTTTTCCGCCTTTTCCTCCTTGTCGCATTTTTTGGCACTTCTGCTCAGTTCTTTGGCCGCGAACTTTAGGTTGAACAGGTGTTTCTCCATATTAGACATAGTCGGATGACTGACTGCTCGGGGTGGGCGGCCAGGGCGGAGACCTTAGTAGGATGAAGGAAAGAAGGTCTCCGCCGGGATGCCGCTCCTTTGTTTTGGTCCTACTTCCTGTTTTTGCTGTGAGGCGCAGGTGGTGACGTCAGAGCTCGGCGCCGGGAGGTGGGGACCGACTCTCACGAGCACGCCTACCGAAGCGAGCTCAGACTTGACTCCGCCTACTGTGCTGGGCTGATTAGGGCGCTGGCCCCGTACTGAGTTCTGCGCAGTTTTTAAAGTACTTAAGCTTTAGCAGAGTCACAAAAACTCGTGCTCACACACAGTTTCTTAGGCATATATCTACTGAAACGTGCAGAACGCGTCTAAAGCTACATGTAAAAAATACCCAAACTCTAAAGTTGGCAGGCCTTAAGGTGTCCGGGCAGAGGGCTAAAAACCAACACTCAGGTCTGCAGACTAAAACTTTATTTGCATGTGTAACTTCCACTTTCTCAAGGGAACCTGAAACCACTGGATTGTTAATACATTAAAAAATAAAACAAAAATTGTGTCATTGCCCTGCCTCTCAATTTTTGACTACAATTTGAGCTATCATCCCGTGATATCCTTTTATTTATTCACTAATGGGCAAGAAAATACATTCAAAACTATGTACCACCACATTTTTACCGTGGCTGGAAGTATGGCTTATAGTTGAGTTGCCAGTAACTATCATCAAAATATCTTTCTGTAATTTAGATTTTTTTAAGAAAGCCATCATTTACCGACATGATTCTATTTGATATTTTATAAATATCCAAGGAACTTCACTCACATTTAAGTTTGACAGGTTAAATTGTCATTTTAAATTATGCAGGCAGAGAACAGTGATGGGGACCCACACCCACTGGCATATATCAAAACTGTCACTGTGTAATATACCCTTTAAAAATGCAGGCTTCCAAATGGCAGCAGTGTGCCATAGCCTTTTTTTCTTATAAAGATTCCTCAGTACAGCAATAACAAAATAAATGATGGCCCAACTTGCCCTAATAAGGTTAAAAATGATTACTGAGAACTAATTCTGTTTAGAGATAATTTTAATTCAGAGTCTCACTATCCCTTTGTGCCTCCTGTGATAACTTGCCAAGCGTCTTGCACCACTAATTAGAGGTGTGTTGGTGTCACATGTATGCTCCTAAAACACAGCTATGATTATATCATTCTAGTGCTCCAAAACCTGGGCAAAAAGGCGAAACTCCTCTTTGTGGCATAGTTGGTCTCCACTCTTCCTTCCCTTTCCCTCCCCTGTGCAGCAGTGAAACCAGAGTGAAGCCTGGAATTTAAGTGTCACCTGATCAGGGTGGAGCTTGAGAATGGATGCTCCTCCCTCACACCCTGGGCTCCCCTTCTGTTCATCTCTGTGTCACCCTCCTCACAAACCTCCTCCTCTAGGATGCCTTCAAGGCCCACTTCTTCTGCCACAGCACACACAGTAGATTGACTGAGGGGACAGGCCACCTATTATATCATGAACGGTGTGGAAGCAGAGAACAAGTCTTATTCCTTTCCCCCAGTGGACAGCAAGAGCTTTGCACACAGTAGGCATTGCCTACAATAAGGCTTTGCTGAACTGAAAGTGGTTGGCAGGGCATAGGACATTACCTACATCAGCAACTTGGCCAAGATTACTTTTCCCTAAAGTAGAACTGATTCTTCACATGAGACATTTCCAGAAATAGAATATAAAAAACAAAGAGAAGAATCTATTTTAAGTGGGGCTATAGGGCCTAGGTCCCTTCTTTGCTCAACCCCATCCTACCTTCCCTTTCTTTTGAGTCCCTGTCTTTACATGCACTTACCAAACCACTTCCCTAATCCTATTCTGTGTTCCACAGTTTGTTTAATGACAAATTCTCACTAGGCAGGGGTGTTTGTGATATAATCATGAGAAACTGACAGATTATGAGGATAATGACAACTAACATTTATTAAGTACTGATGTGCCAGCCATTGTTCTGGTCGCTTCACATGAATTAACTCATCTCATCTTCACAAACCTTATGAGATAGACACTAATTAACACCTCCAATTTACAAGTAAGGAATCTGAAGCACAGAGAGATAAGTCGCAGGCCTATGACCACCCATCTGTTGAGTGTTAGAAATAGGGTTCCATAGGTATAACAGGGAACAGTAATAAAACACCAGGGAGTCCAATAAGTTAACAAAAATAAAAGACTGATCATTTTTGGATGAAAAGAAGTTGATTTACCAGTTGTCTTCTGAGGAAATTGGGAAGTTGCATTGACTGCAAGGTTAATATAACTAAATGATGTTGCTAAAATAAGTTATCATCCCCTGAAGCTGCATTCATTGAATAATGAAATAATGGCAAGTCTGGTCTCCAGGCTGATCAGACAGTCTAGAGAATGTGGTGGAGTTCCAGAAGCCATATTTTCAGAGACCAGGGCAGACTGAAACACAGAAGAGAAGGCTGACCTCATGTTTGGCAGCTGCCCCTCCTCTCCCTGAGCTGAGGATATTCCACATGACTTTGATTAAGTTTAGCTTTAAACGCTAGCTCTAGAAATCATCGTTCTCTCTCTCTCTCTCTCTCTCTCTCTCTCTCTCTATATATATATATATCCACCACTCAGAGACCTCTTTCTCCAGGATAATCATCAATGCCTGAGGCAGCAGAAGACAGTAGCCTGGACCTGACTAATGGTCACAAGGTCTGGAATTTTGGTAGGCTAAAGACAGCATCTTGACCTAAGTAATTGTTTCAGTTCCTACAGTTGGTGACTTCCCAATGAAACCAAACAGAGGGAAGCTGGAACAGACCTTAGAACTGTCCCCAAGACATGAAAAATGATTTATTACACTTATCTCACCTTCAACCACTCAGCTCCCAACCTCTCTACGGTGTCTTGTGACTTGCCCTGTATAATCTCTAACCTGCACTACATGGGGGAGATGGGACTTTTGGGTATTAGCTTACCATTCTCCTGGGCAGGTGGCACCATTCCTAATAAAATTGTCTTTCTCCACTGCATTTCTTGGTGTTTAGTGTTTGGTTCTGGGACAAACTCTTTCTGTTTGGTAACAAAATCCTATGACAAAGCGGAATAGTTCCTATCACTTCTATAGTGTGCTATTATCTCGTTCAGTTTTCTCTCTGAGACAGTGATCACTTGAGGTCTAAAGGAGGCCAAAAAAGAAGTATTAACTTTAAAGTGGTTTTGAATTAAGTTATAGGATATTAGATATTTAAAATAAAATATAATGAGTGTGCATTCTTCTTCTATTATATTTGATGGAGTTGGGCTACAATTGTCCAGCTCATGCCTATATTCCACAAACATTTACTGAATTCGTGGCTCAGAGGATGAACAATATAGGGGAATAGGTAAGTCACTGGCAGGTGTGATGCATTTGTCATGTGCCATAAAGCAGAGGTATTTATTTCCCTCAGCGTTTCTTCTCATGGAAGGTTCTTAACAATTGGTGCATAGAGGTGGTGCTGGCTGAGCTTTCCTGATAAATTTGACAAGTGAGGCGTTCTAGCAGATATTTCTCTTCTAGGAACCACTGAGCTGTCTTGGGACATAATTAACCATGTCCTAAATACAATTAATTGTCGCCAAGATTAACATCTGGAAAACAATATTTAATAGTGAATCTTGGTATACTGCAGGAAAAACAAAATGTATTTTTTAGTCTAGGAGTTAAAAGAGAGTTCAAAGTTCATTTAATTTCAACTTACACGAATGTGCAAAACTCTGTAAATTCTTCCATCATTTACATGAAATAAAATAAGGAAACAAGCACAAATTGCATTTGACATGGCTCCTGGTCACTGGAAGCCCTCCGGTACCTCCTCTTTCTGCAGAGGCCCACCATTGTGTGTCTGTCACAGCGTCATTTTCTAGCAGGCACCCATCTCTCAGCCTCATAAGGACACATGTGATTGACCAAGGGGAAAGAATGGAGCTCTTAGGACTTCAGGATAAAGCCTCTGAGAAGGCAGTCATGAGAGCCACTCTATTTTCAGAGGCCACGTATACTGATTTGTTCAGATCATACCACTTGTCAGAGGCAGAATTAGAATGAGAAATGAACCCTCAGATCAACATTCACTTCACACTGAGTTTCTTATTTGAAGAGATCTGAGATGTCATTAAACATGTTCAACTGTAGATAAAATTATTCCTTTTTTTGAAAAATAATCGATTAGGTCTTGTTGATTTTAGAAGATATATTTAGTCACTACATATATCTTAGTGGAGAGTCATAGTGTTAATGTAACCAGCTAGGAGTTAACAAAAGAGAAGGAGCTAGACTGTTTGAACCTGACTCAGTGGAAGTTATAATCAGGCTTAGGTCTGGAACTTATAGCTTCAGATACCTTACCATGATGTAAGATGGTGGCCAGAAAGAGGAGGTCTCTAGTCTGGGAAAAAGATAGAGTTGAATATAGGGAGGGTACAACATAAGCCCGCAAGGAACCAGGAAAGAGATTGGTTAGTTTGAAAAAAAGCCTAACCATTCCCAAGCCCTAGGTAATATAATCAAAGCTTAACAAAGGCCCATCTCAGTAGCACCTGTTTGCGCATTTGCCCATTTGTTTGCACATTGTCTCTCCTTGCAGCCATGAGGGTCTATGGGCAGGCTCCAAGCACAGCTCTAAGCACCAGCTGGAGCACAGCCAAGAACAGAGACTAAACTAGCTGTATGGGGACAGAGACTGAGCTGGATTAAACTTTGGCATTGACTGGACCGAACTGACAGTGCTGGGCCAAAGGCACAGACTCTCTGGACACTGGTACTTTCTCTGGGTGTGGGGAAGAGAATGCTGGACTTCTTCCACAGCAGAATGGAGCTGAGCCACCTGGTTGGTTGTGACTGAGACACTGAGCATCTGGAGGAAGTCCTTAGATACTGCTCCAATAAATCTTACCACTACACCTCATCCTCCCATGCGGTGGTCACCAAACTGCTTTTCTCACGACTCTGTAGAAGAACCCCATTTTCACTGGCAACAACAGCAAAGTGACTTTTTTTTTGTAGCAATTACTGCCTGCCTCAGGTATCTGGTATGAGGAATCTTTCATTCCTTCTTCACAGAAATCACATATAACACTCTAGATTCATAT